CCTCTCCCTACCTAAAGGAGGAGTCAGAAAGTCAGGACAGAGTCTTTCTCTCTGAGCCCTGGTGCACCACCCTCCCCTCCACGGTTTCTCAGGAGTCTGTGAGGCAAGTCAGGTGGCAGTGCCGCTGGGCAGCCCTCGTGCATCTCCAGGCCCTCAGCATGCGGAGAAAAGACCTGAGGAAGCAGAGCCACTGACAGGCACCCCAGGGGGAAGCTGACATTCAGAAACAGGAAGAAAACGTTCTGTGGCCTTCCTTGGAAGCCAGTGACTGAGCACTTGAGTCTTGTGAAGGTGACTGTGTACAAATGGGCGAGGGGGAGGGGGTGCAGGCTGCCCTAGAGGAAGGCCAGCTTGACCAGCTGCTCTGGCCTGGAGCCCCTTCCTCCTCCCAAGCCCATCCAGGAATAATGGACTGGACTGAGTGTCTTGGGACATTCTTTTTTGCTTTAACTTTCTGTGAGTTCAAAAGGCATAGTCCTCTGAGACTCAGAAACCCCACTTCACCAGATTTTACCCATGTTTGATCACTTCCGGAAACAGGAGTTTTCTCTGTAGGAAGCTAGTACCCAAATTCTGCTTCGGCATCCACGAATCAATCAATCAAAGCCGACTGTGGGTAAGGAAGCCTGCAGTTCTCCCCTCCCCTGGCAAACATCTTCCCACTTCTTCCTCTAGACTCAAAATTCCCACCACAGGAAAGCCAGAAGGGATGGGCTTAGAATGAAATTCTCCTTGTCACTGCACTCCCGTTGCCCCAACTGTGCCCCTGATCTCCCTACTCCCCTCAGTAATGATCTACAGAATCATGTCACTCCCTCACAACAGGGGCATTCCCCTCTCAGACACAGAGTGTCCCTGGGACTGAGTGACCAGGCTGGGGATCCCCTTGGGACTCAGGCCCCCCCTTCCTGGCTAGCTTGCAGTAGGGGAGTGGGTAACAAGGCAAGAGTGGCTTCAGAATTAGGGAATCTGGTTGTTTAATCCTGGCCTGATCCTCTGGGCTCCAAGGCTGGGGTTGGGTCCTGAGCTCCTCAGAATAGGATAAAGGAAGGGCAGAGTGGGGCAATGATGGAGCCAGGTGACCTTGGGATTATCTGGGTTATAAAGTGTACCTTTGGTCAGCAGCAGGGGAGGGGACAATCCTCTTTCCTGTGTACTTTCTCCCTGTGCCCCCACCCAAGGCTTCCTTACCCTTTCCCTGCCTGGGGACTTTGAGCACGGTGGAGATAAAGCCCTGCAGCTGAGCACTAGTCCAACACAGCGTGAGCTAGCAGAGCACATCCAGAGAGAGCCTAGGACAGAAATTCCTCCCTGCTCCAAAATGGCCATCTTGATTGTTCTCTGAGCTCTGAGGGCTCCCAACCCCATGTCAAAAGAAAAGTAAGGAGTTCCAGGCTGCTTTATCCTCTCAAGCTTTCCAGCCTATTTCACCCACTCTGTCCCCCCAAGGAGAGTGGACTAAGGCCCACCAATGAATATTTCATTCATTCCTCATGCCACAGGGCACAGGTTACCCCCACGGCGAGGGGGCGGGGCTGAGGCTCTTCAGTAAAGCTCCCAGCCCAACCCCACCCTCAGTCCTGGGTCAGAATAAAACCTCTAGCTCCTGCTCATCTGGTTGGCCAGCCACCTTACCCTGCTTGGTGGGTGACTTCTGGGGACCAGAGGCAGCAACCTTTCTCACCCCAGGCCCACCTGGCCACAGGGGGCGAGAAGGCCACAGGTGAGAGACCACCACCCCGACCTCCAGCTTCCCCTTTCCTCGGGCAGATACCCTGAACAGACGCGAGGGGCGGGCGGGGAGATGCCGGGGTCGGAGAAGTCTAACTCGAGCAGGTGTTGTCAGGGGAAACGGCTCCTTCAAAGACGAGACGTGGGCGAAGGGGGAAGCCTGCCTGAAGGGATTCGAGAGGCCGCCCCGACCAGAGCCCAGGGCCCCGGCGTGGCGGGCCAGTGAGCCCGACCCCGCGGAAACGACCCGCCCGCGGCGTCCCCGCCCCCGGCCCGGCCTGGCCTCACCTCGATGTTGCCCACGGTGCGGGCGCAGCCCACCACCTTCAGTCCCTGCTGGACCAGGGCCCGGGCCACGGCCGCGCCAATGCCCACTGAGGCTCCCGTCACCAGCGCCAGCCGGTCGCGCCACCGCTCCATGCCGGGTCTGGCCATGGGGCAGCGCCGCCCGCTCGCCTCGCTGGGCGAGCCCGGCACCCGGGTCGAGGAACTGACGCCCGGCCGCTTTCCGGCCGCCGCAGCCGACCCGGCAGCGTCCGACCTGCGCCGCGAACCGCCGGCGTCCCGGCCCACCTCCGACTGGGACTCCACCCCCAGGCCCTCGGCGACCCGCCGCATCCGGTGGGAGGCCGCCGCGGCCCGGCCGCCCCGCCCACCGCGGGACGGCCCCGCCCCTTCCGCGCCTCCGACCGCAGGCAGGCCCCGCCCCTTCCGCCCTTCCGCCCTTCCGCCCGGTCCCGGCGCAAGGAAGCCCTGGAGCTTCCGGGCAGCTGGCGGTGCCGCTGTACCCGAGAGCGCGTCTCTTTCGGGTCAGGAAAACGGGTTTAGCGGGGGCTTCCTTCCAGCCGCGAGGGCACAGACTCAGCATCCCGCTTAGTCTCCCTTCCCTGCTCCTGAACCCTAATGCCAGGATGAGGAATTAAGGGTACTTGAGGTGACTCCAACACTCTCCCAAACCCACCGGTGACTTTTGAAAAGGGATTCGGCCCGCAAAACGCCGAGTGTCTCCGCCATCAACGCTGGGTGACCTTGGGAAGGACTCTCGCTCACCCTGCCTGATCTCTTGGCTTTACTAGCCACAGAGAACTGAAACCCTCCCAAGTGCACGTGTACCGGGGGATTCTGTCCCTAAATGTCCCACTGTGTCCAGCTGCCCTAGACCTCCACGCTCACCCCTCCCCCACTGTAGCAAATATATCATGATACATGCCAAAGATTAAAACAGTAGCTAACATTTCTTGCTTACGGTGTAGCAGGCACTTTAAATATAGTAAACTAATCTGCACAACCTCTCTTAGCACATACTAGTGTCTTTTTTTTTTTTTTTTTTTTGAAACGGAGTTTCGCTCTTGTTACCCAGGCTGGAGTGCAATGGCACAATCTCGGCTCACTGCATCCTCCGCCTCCTGGGTCAAGCAATTCTCCTGCCTCAGCCTCCCGCGTAGCTGGGACTACAGGCGTGCGCCACCATGCCCAGCTGATTATTTATTTATTTTTTATTTTTAGTAGAGACGGAGTTTCGCCATGTTGACCAGGATGGTCTCGATCTCTTAACCTCGTGATCCACCTGTCTCGGCCTCCCAAAGTGCTGGGGTTATAGCCGTGAGCCACCGCGCCCGGCCATGCTAGTAGCTTAAAGATGAGTATTCTGATGTGCTGAAGCATGGTTTGGACCACAGGCAGTCCAGTTTTGGGCCAGTGATGTGCTTCTAGATAGCCTTCACACCATTATCGCTTCTTGGGTTGTTGGTCTTGTTCAGAGTAGAGCTCACTTTGCTAAAAGGTGCTGAAAACTGCCTAATATAGACATTCTCTTAAAGAAAAAGCATCTTTGAATAAACCTGACTCCTACCCAACAATGGAGTAAGCAGTCAATGTGGCTGGATTATTCATTCAGAAACATTCATTTGCCTATCCTGTATTTGGCCCCATGGCAAAGATTAAGATTAAACTAAATCAGCCTTTGCTTGTAGGGATCTCAAAAGAACATCTGACTGTAACGGTGAAGAGGGGATTTGCCTCTGAGCCAAGGGCTGTGGAAGACCCACAGTCATTTTTTATAGATTCTGGATGAAACGAAAAAGGGTCTGAGAGGAGTCCTTTTACCTCTTCTCATTCCTATACAACATTTAGGTTTGAAAGACAGCTCAGGTGGTGGATCCAAGAAACGGCACGGACTATAAAAATTCAATCCGCCGGGCGCGGTGGCTCACGCCTGTAATCCCAGCACTTTAGGAGGCTGAGGCGGGTGGATCACGAGATCAGGAGATCGAGACCATCCTGGTCAACATGGTGAAACCCCGTCTCTACTAAAAATGCAAAAAATTAGCTGGGCATGGTGGCACGTGCCTGTAATCCCAGCTACTCAGGAGGCTGAGGCAGGAGAATTGCTTGAACCCAGGAGGCGGAGGTTGCGGTGAGCCGAGATCGCGCCATTGCACTCCAGCCTGGGTAACAAGAGTGAAACTCCGTCTAAAAAAAAAAAAAAAAAAAAAAAAAAAAATTCAATCCAAGTTTCTGCTGCTGCACACTTGAAATCTAACTAAACAGCACATAAAATTCATTCGACCTCCATTGCAGAATGATTGTCCCATTATTTGTATGCTGCCACCAAGTATTAGAAACATGGAGACACAAATCTCTAAGCATCATGTGTCTACTGAGTTATTTGACTTGATCTTTTAAATAGCAGCAAAATGCTACTGGGGGGGGGGGGTGGACGACTCTCTCCTTCAGTGCCAACAGCTGTGACAGCAGTATACTGTTAAGACCACAGTGACTTTTTTACTGGACATCAGATAAGGCTGAACCTCACATGCACTTAGCCCATAATGTGGTTAGCTCTCAGTGCAGCCTTCTGATCCCAGTCTTACATGTTGAGCAATTACTTATTGGGTAGCCCTTGGTTGAAATTCTGTCAAGTTTTGTTTTTATTCTTCTAGGTCAATGTGAACCTCTGAATTTAAGAAGTACTTTGTGCATGTATTAGGGAACTTTATGTATTAAGCAATTAAATAAAGTCTCATGGGAAAGTAAGGTGCTAGCAAGTAGTGAAAGGTATTGCAGCAAATTTCTCTCTTCAAACGAAAAAGACTGGAAACTGCTTTTCTCAGTTGTCAATTCTCATCAAAGGAAGAATTTTGTCTTCAACAATCTGTATCTCTGTCTCAGCCTTTTCCTACCATCAACACTAGCCAACCAAGCACCAAGTCCACAAGTGGCAAATACTAAAGTACTGCCATACATCAAGTAGAAACATGTACACCAAATTTTACTGTGCGTATTAATAAATATTCTTTATTTTAAATTTTGCACATTGCGCTTTAACATTACATCCAAACATTTCGCAAGTGGATGTCTACTTTGTAAAACCATATATTCAGCTCATTGTCATTTCTGTACAGAATTATAAGTACAACATTACTTTTTGCCACTAAGTTGCTTTAGTAAGTCTCACAGGAAGAGAAACATTTAATGAAAAGAGATGGCTTAAATCATATGGCAGGCCTGTGCAGCCACGCAACTAAAGACACAAGCCTGAAGAAGGAACAAACTAATGAGGATACCTCCACCGTCTCCCAAAACAAGAAAGAATCACATTTAAGATAAAATTTTGCCGTTAAGTCACTAAATTAAGAGTTTTCCGAAAGAGAAGGCGCAGTAGTCATCATGAGTGTTTCATTGAAAGACAGAGCTATTTTATTTATTTAATTTGCTCCAGCCGTTGTCAACCAGCCACTACAAATGGGCCTCTTGTGATCATTTAAGCGGCAGTATTTATTAAATTTCTCCTTCAGATGCTGTCGGTATTGTTCTCTATTGCTGTAGAAAGACTGGTTATTAGCCATAAATGACTGTATTTCATCTTGTGAGATAAAGATTTCCTCATCTGAAGTACATTCAGACTCATCCTGTAAATTAAAGCAGTGGTTAAGACTATGACTTAAGAATGCAAAATGCTATGTGATGGAGGAGGACAGCTAAAAATTAAAGCAGTCTAGCTTTTTAGTTTCAATTCAGTCACATAAAGGCATTAAGTGGAGTGTTTGCAGAATAAGCATCATGTCATTTGTCTTAACAAAGTACCTGGAATCTATAATTTCTCCTAGAAGCCTATGAGCCTAGCAAACTACCATCATACCTTGGCCTTAAAAAAATAAAGATGTTACAACTAGTTACACCACATTTTAAGTAGCTAGACTTATCTCTAGCTAGCCCTACCATGAAACATCCATCTCTAATAAACATTTACAAACTAAGTAAAAGACAACCATTTTTAACTTAAGAAATAAGTTACACAGCATCACCATTAAACTTTTACAACCATTAAAACTTTTTAAACATTAAACTTACACTGGCAGTGGCTCACACCTATAATCCCAGCACTTTGGGAGGCTGAGGCATGAGAATCACTTGACCCCGGGAGGCAGAGGCTGCAGTGAGCCAAGACTGCACCACTGCAGTCTAGCCTGGGCGACAGAGTGAGACTCCTCAAAAATAAAAAACTAGCATTCCAAAGGATTTGGTCATCAGGACTCTAATGGAAAAAACAACACTCTTCTCCCTTTTCCCCTCCTCCAAGGGCTACCTACACTATGCACTGGATCAGTTGGAAACAGGTAAAACGTCTCAGGAATTGGAGTCTTATCCTACATGACACCTAAAAGAAAGCATGTAATATGCTAGTTCAGAAAGTATATTCTTTCTGGTCTGGAAGGGTGGCTACCATAAATTGCCAATCAGAAAGGCCAAGTTTGCTTACAGTAACCTGCTTCAAGGAGTCCAGACTCCTCAACAAAATGCTACCTCTATCTTTTCTCCCAACTACAGACGGTCCTCACTTACAATGGTTGCATTCGGAATTTTTTTTACTTTACACTGGGTTTACTGGGGTGTTGAATGTATTTTCAACTCAGCAATATTTATGAGTTATAATGGGTTTACTGGAATGTAACCCCACTGTAACTCAAGGAATTCCTGTAACGTTTTCTACTGAGAAAGAGGCGGCCATGGAAACGTGTTCCAGAGTAGTTGTATAAACCTTAAGTGGAAGGGCAGAAATGAAGTCCTCAAAGAATAAGGAAACACTATGCTTAATTTCTGTCTTTTTTTTTTTTTTTTGAGACGGAGTCTTGCTCTGTTGCCAGGCTGGAGTGCAGTAGTGCAATCTTGACTCACTGCAACCTACACCTCTCAGGTTCAAGAGATTCTCCTGCCTCAGCCTCCCAAGTAGCTGGGACTATAGGTGTGCCACCATGCTTGGCTAATTTTTTTTTATTTTTAGTAGAGATAGGGTTTCACCATAATGGCCAGGCTGGTCTCGATCCCTTGGCCTTGTAATCTGCCTGCCTCAGCCTCCCAAAGTGCTGGGATTACAGGTCTGAGACACCAAGTCTGGCCCCCTTAATTTCTTTTTTTTTTTTTTTTTTTTTTTTTTGAGACGGAGTTTCGCTCTTGTTACCCAGGCTGGAGTGCAATGGCACGATCTCGGCTCACCGCAACCTCCGCCTCCTGGGCTCAGGCAATTCTCCTGCCTCAGCCTCCTGAGTAGCTGGGATTACAGGCACGTGCCACCATGCCCAGCTAATTTTTTTTTTTTTGTATCTTTAGTAGAGACGGGGTTTCACCATGTTGACCAGGATGGTCTCGATCTCTCGACCTCGTGATCCACCCGCCTCAGCCTCCCAAAGTGCTGGGATTACAGGCTTGAGCCACCGCGCCCGGCCCCCTTAATTTCTTAAAAGCTTCCTTCCACTACCTACCTTAAACCCTCAAATACTATCCCCCTCCCACATTCACCCCATTCCTGAACAATGATGTACAATAAGACCTCATGGAATACTTACAAGGAGTTCAACTAAGCTCTTGGCACCTTTTCCGGAATCGGGACCAAACAATGTTTCTGTAGGTTCTGCAAGCTGTGGTACATTTTTTCTATGCTCAAACCAAGGCAGTGGCTGCCCACCCTTTTCAGAGCTACAACAGCTTTCAGGATGTGTATCTTTGGTCTTGTCACGGTGAAACACTGTGTGCATGGTATTTCCTGAGGTCTCTCGATTACCTGGATCTATAATACAGCTTCCAAGCTTCTGGATCTGATACCACAGCAAAAGATTTCACAGGTTAAAAGGCATGAAATAATAGCAGTTGTTCTTTTTTGGAGACCGAGTTTTGCTTTTATTGCCCAGGCTGGAGTTGCCAGGCTCATTGCAACCTCTGCCTCCCAGGTTCAAGCAATTATCCTGCCTCAGCCTCTCGAGTATACAGGCATGTGCCACCACACCCAGCTAATTTTTTATATTTTTAGTAGGGATGGGGTTTCTCCATGTTGGTCAGGCTGGTCTCAAACTCCTGACCTCAGGTGATTCGTCCGCCTTGGCCTCCCAAAGTGCTGGAATTACAGGCATGAACCACCACACCGAGTCAGCAATTATTCTTTTAAAAAAAAAGAGCCATTCCAGGTGGCTCACTCCCATAATCCCAGCACTTTGGGAGGCCAAGGCAGGTGAATCACTTGAGGTCAGGAGTTCAAGACCAGCCTGGCCAACATGGTGAAACCCCGTCTCTACTAAAAACACAAAAATTAGCCAGCGACAGTGGCTTGCGCCTCTAATCCCAGCTACTTGGGAAGCTGAGGCAGGAGAATCGCTTGAACCTGGGAGGCAGAAGTTGTAGTGAGCCAAGATTACACCACTGCACTCTAGCATGGGCGACAGAGTAAGACTTCATCTAAAAGAATAAAAAATAAAAATAAAAAAATCCTGACATTGTATTAAACCTTTAGAAGGAATACTGAGTAATAGCAGCAGCTGGCATTCATTTACTAGGCAGTTACTACGCAGTAGACACTATGCCACACCTGCCAATGTACACTCACTTCACCTTCATAGAATTTAATATGATAGGGACTAAACCAATTGTTTTAAGATCACATAGCTTACAAATTTAAAATAATAAAAAGAAGAAGTTAATTTATGACTCACAAGGACTGTTGGACAAACGACAGCATCTCTCTCTCCCCACAACACACACTCTCACAAGATGAGCAACCAATGGAACTGCATAAAGTACTCATTCTAAAAAAAGTAAATCCTAGCAGCTAAGCTGCACATATGCCACTCCAAGGAAAACGCATGTTCTCTCCTCAACAGCAAAGGTTTAAGAATTACAAGTTACGACACTTACATGTTCATCACATTTCAACATCTTGCTTTTCTTTTTCTTCTTTTTATTTTTTCCTTTTGTGTTGTTCTCTTCAGAATTTGCCCAACATTCAACACAACTATCACCATCATCCTCTTTGTCTTCACAGTGATGAACACAGGAGTCATCACCTGCAGAAATCAATAATCCTTACTTATGCTCTTAAGTCAGCCATGTAGTAGAAATAACTGGGAAACTTAATGTGAACCTACCGTGTTCATCATGATTACAAATGCCTTCAGTGCAGGCAACATCCGAACCCTCCCGAGAACCTGTTTCACTCCCTTCCATGCTAGATGAATATCCACAATCACTACCATTACAGTGTGGAGATAAGCCTGAGAATAAATCAAATGAGAGTTACAATTAACATACCAATAAGCCTATTAGGACAAAGAGTGAACCCACTGGGGACCACAGAAAAATCTCATAATTAATGGCTTATTTAAAGTAGAACATTCCCAGTGAAGGATTTTTTTTAAAGTAGAAAGCAAATTAAATAATGAAAATATGATTAGGAATTTACCATTTTTTTGTTTTTGTCAAAAAATATTTCAACAAACATAAAGGAAAAGGAAACATTAAGTATCTGACTAAATTATATTAAACTCGGGACTATAAATCAGTTTTAAATTTGTAGCTCACAGAATCTCTAAAAGCTCTTACATTTAACAGAAAAAACAGGAGTTAAAAGTTGATTTTAAAAAGAATTTACTTACTTACCTTTCTTTATTTTAGGGGACCCCAAGAGATTGCCACTGCTAGGACAGGTACATGACGTATTTTCATTGGTAACAATTACTTCTACACAAGTATTACCATCTTCAGTGCTGCCACAGGCTTTGCAGCTGCTATTTTCTATGAAGTCTGTTTCCTTTAAGGATCAACATTAAGAGACGGTAAAGAGCTTTACTCGATAACAGCTACACTTTATTCCCTAGGTCAAAACTATTTTCATCATAATACTAAGATAGTACGGCATTTTCACTGTACTGACACTTACATGATACTAAGATATTAAGGCATTTTCACTGTACTGACACTTACACTGACAGTAAAAAAGCAATGGTGGGTAAAGGTTTCAGTCCTTAGCACAAATCAAGACAGTGGCAACCAAAGTATACTAAGAGTCACTGTATTCTTTAATTGTCAAGCACTCACACAAAAACAGATATTTCACTTATGAATGTCTTTGAGGAAACTGCAAGCATATTAACTGTATTAGATATCAACTATGAATACATATACTTTTTCCTTTTTTTTTTTTTTTGCATAGGGTCTCCCTTTGTCACCTAGGCTAGAGTACAGTGGTACAATCATGGCTTACTGCAGCCTCAAATTCTGGGCTCAAGCGATCCTCCTGCCTCCGCTTCTGAAGTAGCTAGGACTACAGGGGCATGCCACAACACCTAATTTTTGTATTCCTTTGTAGAGATGGGGTTTCGTTATGTTGCCCAGGCTAGTCTTGAATTCCTGACCTCAAGCAATCCATCTGCCACAGCTTCCCAAAGTGCTAGAATTACAGACGTGAGCCACCACATCCTGCCAACAGAAATCTTTTTTTTTTTTGAGACGGAGTTTCGCTCTTGTTACTCAGGCTGGAGTGCAATGGCGCGATCTCGGCTCACCGCAACCTCCACCTCCTGGGTTCAGGCAATTCTCCTGCCTCAGCCTCCTGAGTAGCTGGGATTACAGGCACGCGCCACCATATCCAGCTAATTTTTTTGTATTTTTTAGTAGAGACGGGGTTTCACCATGTTGGCCAGGATGGTCTCGATCTCTTGACCTCGTGATCCACCCACCTCGGCCTCCCAAAGTGCTGGGATTACAGGCTTGAGCCACCGCGCCCGGCCCAGAAATCTTTTTAATAGTCCATGTGATAAACAGGAAGTATGCTTAAAGCACTTCTGTTGCAGCTGTCTCAAGGAAACATACTTGTGCAACTTTTTGAATTACAAGCTGAAGTTTTATTCCTGGAACATCAAGTTCACTTGAAAGAACAAGAGACAAACTATGGTTATTCAGACTTGGATATTTAGCAGGCATTTTCTCAAAAATGAATGAAGTCAGTTACTTCAAGGGAAACAATAACTGTTATCAATGATAAAATTCAAACTTTGAAACAACAATCAGAATTTTGGCCTTGCAACCAACAGTACTATGAACTTGAAGCTTCCTAATACTTGGACTTTTCCAACCTGCATAACTCAGTGAACCAGTATCTTTGAAATAAAATTCCAATGCATGATGTTACCAAACAATGCATGAGTAAAAGAGCTATTCAAAGTCCAATACAGTCCAATGGATTCTAATTTAACAGAGTACAGAAGGTCATTGATAAGATGTGAGATTCCACATTGCAATCAATCTTTTAGAAACTACCACTGGTCAAAGTTTAGAATCGAAGAATATCTACAACTAGCTGAAAAGGTTTATATTAAAATACTGTTCCCAGCCAGGTGCAGGGGCTCACTCCTGTAATCCCAGCACTTTGAGAGGCTGAAGTAGGCAGAGTGCCTAAGCTCAGGAGCTCGAAACCAGCGTGGGAAACATGGCAAAACCCATCTCTACTATAAATACAAAAAAATTAGCCAAGTATATTGGTAGCGCCTGTAGTCCCAGCTACTCAGGAGGCTGAGGGAGGAGAATCGCCTGAATCCAGGAGGTGGAGGTTGCAGTGAGCCAAGAGCATGCCACCGCAATCCAGCATGGATGACAGAGACTCTGTCTCCAAAATAAAATAAAATAAAATAATACTGCTCCCTTTTCCTACCATATATCTGTGTGACTAGACTTTCTTCCTATGCTTCAACCAAACCAATAAATGGAAACAGATTTAATGCTGAAGCAGATATAAGAATCTAGCTTAGGCCGGGTGCGGTGGCTCAAGCCTGTAATCCCAGCACTTTGGGAGGCCGAGGCGGGTGGATCATGAGGTCAAGAGATCGAGACCATCCTGGTCAACATGGTGAAACCCTGTCTCTACTAAAAATACAAAAAATTAGCTGGGCATGGTGGCGCGTGCCTGTAATCCCAGCTACTCAGGAGGCTGAGGCAGGAGAATTGCCTGAACCCAGGAGGCGGAGGTTGCAGTGAGCCGAAATCGTGCCATTGCACTCCAGCCTGGGTAACAAGAGCAAAACTCTGCCTCAAAACAAACAAACAAACAAACAAACAAAAAAGAATCTAGCTTAGGCCAGGTACAGTGGCTCACACCTGTAATCCCAGCACTTTGGGAGGCCAAGGTGGGTGGATCACGAGGTCAGGAGTTCGAGACCAGCCTGGCCAACACGGTGAAACCCCATCTCTGCTAAAAATGCAAAAACTTAGCCGAGTGTGCTGGTACACGCCTATAATCCCAGCTACTCAGGATGCTGAGGCAGAAGAATTGCTTGAACCTAGGAGGTAGAAGATGCACTGAGCAGAGATCACATCATTGTACTCCAGCCTGAGTGACAGCAAGACTACATCTCAAAAATAAATAAATAAATAAAAGAATCTAGCTTATTCTTTTCATTAATTTTATTTAGAAAAGTTATTTTTGAAAAAATATTTAGTTCACATTATTTTTGAAGGAATAGTTTAAAATTTCTCTTTTAATTTCTAATACAGTAAATATTGATAAGTATAACCCACATAAACAAAAGTTCATTGAGTACCTGAATTTTTACAAATGTAAAGGGATCCTAAGACCTAAAAGTTGCGAAATGCTCCAGGTCATGCACAGAGGTGACTTTCTAAATTTTGACATTGATCTAACAGTACGTGAAAGTCAGGTAAAGAAATAACTACCCAATATTGTCTTTATAAAACAAAGACACGACATTAAAAATTCTAGCATATACAGACTATAGTAGGAAAAAAGCTGATATATAAACTGCAGGAGAAAAGCACAGTAAAAATGCCCAAATCTAGCAAACAGCAATACAGTTAATCCTCCATATTTGTGGGTTCTGCATCCATAAATTCAACCAACCAAGGTTCAAAAATATTTGGGGGGAAAAATCAAGCTGCATCTGTAGTGAACATGTACAGACTTTTTTCTTGTCCTATTTCCTAAACAATACAGTAAAACAACTATTTGCACAGCTTTTATTCATTTATTTTTGAGACAAGAGTCTCATTCTGTGGCCCAGACTGGAGTGCAGTGGTGTGATCTCAGCTCACTGCAACCTCTGCCTCCTAAGTTCAAGAAATGTTCATGCCTCAGCCTCCCAAGTAGGTGGGATTACAGGCATGAGCCGCCATGCCAAGCCCTACATAATTTTTAAATTGCATTAGGTATTATAATTTAGATATGATTTATGAATATCAAGAGACCAGGCACGGTGGTTCATGCCTGTAATTCTAGCACTCTGGGAGGCTGAGGTGAGAGAATTGCTTGAGCCCACAAGCTCAAGACCAGCCTGAATAACACGGTGAAACTATCTCTCTACAAAAAATTAGCTGGGCCTGGTGGGGTGCAACTGTAATCCCAGCTACTTGGGAAGCTGAGGTGGGAAGAAGTCTTGAGCCTGGGAGATCAAGGCTGCAGTGAGCCATGATTGTGCCACTGCACTTCAGCCTGGGTAACAGAGTGAGACCCTGGCTCAGAAATAAAGTATAAGGAGGATGTGCATAGACTGTATGTAAACACTACATATACCATTTTACATCAGGGACTTGAGCATCTGCAGACTTTGGTAGCTACAGGAAGTTCTGGAACCAAACACCGCAGATACCAAGGGACAACTATCCTATTTTTTTTTTTTTGAGATGGAGTTTCACTCTTGTTACCCAGGCTGGAGTGCAATGGCACGATCTCGGCTCACCACAACCTCCGCCTCCTGGGTTCAAGCAATTCTCCTGCCTCAGCCTCCCGAGTAGCTGGGACTACAGGCGTGCGCCACCATGCCCAGCTAATTTTTGTATTTTTAGTAGAGACGGGGTTTCACCATGTTGACCAGAATGGTCTCGATCTCTTGACCTCGTGATCCACCCGCCTCGGCCTCCCAAAGTGCTGGGATTACAGGCATGAGCCACCGCGCCTGGCCCTTTTTTTTTTTTTTTTAACTAAAAAAAAAGCCAGGCACAGTGGCTCACACCTGTAATCCCAGCACTTTGGGAGGCTGAGGAAGGAGGATCACAGTGAGGAGTTTATGAGACCATCCAGGCCAACATAGTAAAACCCCGTCTCTAATTTAAAAAAAAAAAAAAGAGAGAGACAGGGATCTCATTATGTTGCCCAGGTTGGTCTCAAACTCCTGGGCTCAAGTGATCCTCCAGCCTGGGCCTCCCAAAGTGCTGGGAATACAGGCGTGAGCCACCATAACTAGCCTGTACTTCTATCTAAAAGCAATAGGTACACACTTAAGAGTGGATATTGGGCCAGGCGCTGTAGCTCACGCCTGTAATCCTAGCACTTTGGTAGGCCAAGGTGGGTGGATCACCTGAGGTCAGGAGTTCAAGACCAGCCTAGCCATCATGGTGAAACCCCATCTTACAATTAAAAAAAAAAAAGAGTTGATATTGGCCAGGCGCAGTGGCTCACACCTACAATCCCAGCACCTCAGGAGGCCAAGGTGGGGCAGATCACGTGAGGTCGGGAGCTTGAGACCAGCCTGACCAACATGGAGAAACCCCGTAATTACTAAAAATACAAAATTAGCTGGGCATGCTGGCACCTGCCTGTAATCCCAGCTACTCAGGAGGCTGAGGCAGGAGAATCATTTGAACCCGGGAGACAGAAGTTGTGGTGAGCCGAGATCGCACCATTGCACTCTGGACTGGGCAACAAGAGCAAAACTCAAAAAAGACTTGATATTAAGAAATATTACCTTCTCTTGGCTTACTTCCTTTTCTTCTGCTGTTTGTAAGGGAGTAGGAATATCACACACACACTTATTTTTTCGTCTGTTCTTCCGTTTTTGGCGTTTCTTTTCTTGCTTGAGTTCTCTTACTCGTTCCTCTTCCGAAAATTCCTCACAAAGTTGTTCCAATCTGCTAATACCCTGTACTTTTTCCACGGTCATCTATTATAAAAACAAGGTTGAGGGTGAGTATTGGTCAGAACTTCTTTTGTTTTCTATGGTAATACACACACTCCTATTTCAAACCAGCAACATTCTAGTTTTAAATTTCAGACTTTTTTTTTTTTTTTGAGACAGTCTCGCTCTGTCGCCCAGGTTGGAGTGCAATGGCACAGTCTCGGCTCACTGCAACCTCCACCACCTGAGTTCAAGCCATTCTCCTGCCTCAGCCTCCTGAGTAGCTAGGACCACAGATGCACGCCACCACACTGGTTGATTTTTGTATTTTTAGTAGAGATGGGGTTTTGCCATGATGACCAAGCTGATCCTGAACTCCTGGCCTCAAGTGATCCACCTGCCTTGGCCTCCCAAAATGCTGGGATTATAGGTGTGAGCCACCATACCTCGCCTAAATTTCAGAATTTTAATAGAGCAAAAGTAAACATATCATTTCCTCACATAATGAAAAAACTATTTAACCTGATTACATGATCTAATCTCTGAAGGCACAAAAATACAAACAGAAAAAGAATAAGGGCTGGACATAGTGGCTCACACCTGTAATCCCAGCACTTTGGGAGGCCAAGGCAGGAGGATCATGAGTTCAGGAGTTTGAGACCAGCCTGACCAACATGGTGAAACCCCATCTCTACTAAAAATACAAAAATCAGCCAGGCACGGTGGGGTGCACCTGTAATCTCAGCTACTCAGGAGACTGAGGAAGGAGAATCGCTGGAACCCAGGAGACGGAAGTTGCAGTGAGCCGAGATCGCACAGCTGCACTCCAGCCTGGGAGACAGAGCAAGACTATTAGAGTTCATTGATGGACTTCTAGAATTCTGGAATTTATGGATTTCACCCTATTCTCATGTGGGACCAACAATTCAGTTAAAGGGTTACAACTATGCTCTAGTATATACAAAATACTTACTAGCCAAATAAGTATGTTTTATAGATTATTTTTTTTTAAAGTTACCAATTTATAAGCACTAAACCCAATACCTGCATTACAAAAGTACCCTCAGTGTGCTTCTAAAAAGTAATTCTTATATTATGGTATTCACACAGCATTTACTTCATTCTATTGCACATTAGTAGACAAAAGGAAACTTACCAAAGGTTTTTAAATTTCTTCATTTTTGGCTGCATTTAACTTTTTACTAGTTATGTTTCTTTGAGATGGAGTTTTGCTCTTGTTGCCCAGGCTAGAGTGCAATGGCGTGATCTTGGCTCACTGCAACCTCTGTCTCCTGGGTTCAAGCGATTCTCCTGTCTCAGCCTCCCAAGTGGCAGGGACTACAGGCACATGCCACCATGCCTGGGCTAATTTTTGTATTTTTAGTAGAGACAGTCTCGAACTCCTGACCTCGGGTGATCTGCCTGCCTCGGCCTCCCAAAGTGCTGGAATTACAGACATGAGCCACTACGCCCAGCCTCACTAGTTATGTTTCATAGCAGCATCTTGTTAGTCATCTTCAGTTTTCCACTATGAGAACATCTAAAAATCAAGGCTGGCCAAGTAACAGGCTTAAAAATTTTTTGACCGACAACAGTGGCTCACACCTGTAATACACTTTAGGAGGCCGAGGTGGGCGGATCACGAGGTCAAAAGATTGAGACTATCCTGGCCAACATGATGAAACCCCGTGTCTACTAAAAATACAAAAAAATTAGCTGGGTGTGGTGGCACGCACCTGCAGTCCCAGCTACTTGGGAGGCTGAGGCAGCAGAACTACAAGATTCCAGGAGGCAGAGGTTGCAGTGAGCCAGGATCACCTGACTGCACTCCAGCCTGGTAACAGAGCAAGACTCCGTCTCAAAAAAAAAAAAAATTTTTTTTTAAATCCAGCAATTTCTTCTAAATCCCAGTTCCCCAGATCACCCCCCTGCTCCAACCCAAAGCCATGTAACTATCCAGCCAAAGCCATGAAACTCTTAACAGTGATGGATCACAGCCCTTTGAGGCACTGGTGGCTTACATTAAGATTCAGTCCAATAACGTGACTAAGCAATCTCAGACGCTGTTCTTACCTCAAAACTCTTGCGTAAAGCATCAACACCAAGATAGAAAAGCATCTGCCACGTCTGCTCTTCTGCCCGTAGTTTTTGCCAGATTCGATGCAGTCTTTCATAAAGATGAATTCCCAAGCAGGTCAGAACTTCTTCTTGAGCTATATCTATTGTCTTTGCATGCCTTTCTCTTCGCCTGTAAAAGAGAATAGTCACACATTAACTCCTAGTACCTTTAAATGAAGCAGTAAAAGATGGATAACACAGCTACAAGTTTAAGCTTTAAACACGATTTGCTTATCTAATAACAAGACAGTTATATGTTTACATTCAATGTATATGTAAATACACATGCACGCATGTCTACAACCAATGAGAAATTCACATGCAAGTACAACTTAGTCCTCGTATTGCTAAAAATAAGGTAATTCAGGAACTGCCTCTAAAGAGATGGGTTTAAGGCACAGGGCAATCACAAAGAAGTGTCCAACTCATAGCAGACATAATAGTTCCTTTCACTTTCCAATTATATCAGAACATTTTTTCCTTCATTTGGTTTTTTGTTTTGAGGGAGAATGGAGAAAGGCAATGCCAAAGTGATTCAATCATGGCAAGAATCCTCCAGGCCAGGCTTTACAAGTGTTCACAGAACACTGGTGATAAAAAAAAAAAGGCCTCTGTATTCTAAAATGCCAAGCAGAAAGTAGGCACTCAAATGAGGGTTTATACCCTAAACACAAAAGGATATGGATTTGACTTATTCTATGAACATCATCTGATTTTTACAACAAGGTCAGAGATAATACTTTAGGTTTCTATGTATTAATAATAATATACACAGTTCATGAATTACATTCAATAAGGCAGCTCTTAACCCCCTACTGCAAAGATCTCATTTATGCAGAAACCATTATTGTGAATAAAATTTAGACACAATAATGCATGGATAGAGAAAAATCCCTTCTAATCATTTTCAAGTGAAAATGTTGTCTGTTAACAATGAAAGCCAAAAAAGCCTGCCTCCCTTCAAGCGAGAAGTAGCAGAGGACTGAACCAAACACCAGGGAACAATTTTTCCCTATTTTCAGTCAATTAAAAAATACATACTTTAGGGCTGGGTATGGTGGCTCACACCTGTAATCCCAGTACTTTCGGAGGCCGAGGCGGACAGATCATGAGGTCAGGAGATCGTGACCATCCTGGCTAACACAGTGAAACCTTGTCTCTACTAAAAATATAAAAAATTAGCCAGGCATGGTGGCAGCCGCCTATAGTCCCAACCACTCAAGAGGCTGAGGCAGGAGAATCGCTTGAACCCGGGAGGTGGAGATTGCAGTAAGCTGAGATCATACCACTGCACTCCAGCCTGGACGACAGAGCAAGACTCCATCTCAAAAAACAAAAAGAAAAAAAAATGCATACTTTAAAGAGAAGCAAAATGTTTACAGGCATACCTTAATTTATACATACATCATATATATTGAGGCAGAAGGTGATGAAAATAAATTTTCAGTAATAAAATAAAGCAAAGCGCTAGATAGCCCATTCTAGCAAATTACATACTCATACCCTCCTGCGAACTCTGGCTCAGCACGACCCAAAAGATGAGCAATGAAGTCTGTTTCACAGCAAACATGTATGTGTCGTTCATGTGGACAGCACCGCAAGCCTTCATAAAGTGCAGCACAGTAGCCCTTTTCTTTGCTGCAATCAAGTTCACCAATAAGGATGTTGTATGCTCGGAGAACTTTATTTTTGCAATCAGTGCAAAACCTGTTGAAAAGAAAAACCTCAAAATTAAGAACTGGCTGTGCAATTATTTCATGTGGCATTTAACAGTGTACTAGATGATAGCACTCTCTCCCATCTACAGTATTTTTTTTAAAAACCTCCATACACACATTTAAAACATACGAATGTTAAGGTAAATAAAAACTTAGGGATTACATGAATACAGACAGATCTTCACTTGCCAATGATTTTTTTTAACTAGAGAAACACATGGCCTAAAACAATGAGACAGATACATACCTATTATTTCATAAAATGCATGCCCAGAAAGTATCAGTTGCCAAGAACTAACATATCTCCACTTCAAAAGCTATTTGCACAGGTCAGAAATAAAACAATAGAGGCAATGAACCAATGATTCTTGATTAGTTTGTTCTCTCTCCTTCCATCTGAAAATAGATGGTCTCTTCAGCCAGTAGACCTTGACTCCAATTTCTATTGTAACATTTTAATATTTCACTAGCTAAGCATTTGAGGACAGGGATAGGAGTTGAGGGAGGAGAAGAATGGGAAAGTGCTGCATGTATTTTTTAATTTACTATTTCCAAAAGGCCAAATTCTTTCTTCCAAAAAATGCCTGTTTCTTAATAACACAATATAAACATCACATACATAGAAACTGGTTTAAACTTAAGTGTATATAATGGGACAAAAGTATAGAAGAGTTTGTGAGTCTGTGAATTAGAGAAGGAAGAAAATTTCTTTTAGAAACCAAACATCAATCAGAAAGAATTGCAGCCTGGTTTCATCATCTTTGAATTCCTTAAACAAGAACTTGGTCTGGTGAAAAAGCCAGGCTCACAATAGTAATAACTGGCTAAGAAGATTTGTTAGGTGAAACAAGGAAATTTTAATCTCTAAATTCATTTCCCCGATGAGCTCATCTATGCCTACGGCTTCAACTAACCTGTCTATAAAGACAATTTGTGACTCTACAGCTCTGTTCAAGTCTCTGCTATTGCCTGAGGGCCAGACTCATATTGAAAAGTGGCGAGACATGACAGATGTCCAATAGGCAACACCTTAAACTCACTGTCCAAGGGCAACGCTGCTATATTCCTGTTCTTTCCCTGTTAAGAATATCACCATTCACAGCCATTCAAAGTCTCCCAGGCTGGAAATCTCAGTTAACTCCAACTTTTCTAGGTCCTCCCTTTAAGGGTAGAGCCAACTAGTATTCATTGTGTCTTTCTTATTTCTCTGGTAGGTCCCTTATTTTCAATTCTCTCTGGCTTGGTTTAAGTTGCCTACGCTTTTTTTTTTTTTTAAGACAGAGTCTCTGTTGCCCAAGCTGGAGTGCAGTAGCGCCATGTCAGCTCACTGCAACCTCTGCCTCCTGGGTTCAATCGATTCTCCTGCCTCAGCCTCCAGAATAACTAGGATTGCAGGCGCCCACTAGTGCACCCAGATAATGTTTTGCACTTTTTAGTAGAGGCAGGGTATTGCCAAGTTGGCCGGCCTGGTTTTCAAGTTGGCCAGCCTGGTCTTGAACGCCTGCCCTCAGGTGATCCACCTGGTTCAGCCTCCCAAAGTGCTGAGATTACAGGCTTGAACCACCATACCCAGCCCACTTTTTTTTTTTAAGCTTCTTTTTTTTTTTTTTTTTTTTTTTTTGAGACGGAGTTTCGCTCTTGTTGCCCAGGCTGGAGTGCAATGGCGCGATCTCGGCTCACCACAACCTCCGCCTCCTGGGTTCAGGCAATTCTCCTGCCTCAGCCTCCTGAGTAGCTGGGATTACAGGCACCTGCCACCACGTCCAGCTAATTTTTAGTATTTTTAGTAGAGACGGGGTTTCACCATGTTGACCAGGATGGTCTCGATCTCTTGACCTCGTGATCCACCCGCCTTGGCCTCCCAAAGTGCTGGGATTACAGGCTTGAGCCACCACACCTGGCTAAGCTTAACTGACTTCCCCATTTCTAGAAACTTCCTAGCATTGATGCATCTCTCACACCAAAATAATTTTTCTAACACAAATCTGATTATCTCTGTCTCAGCTTAAAAACCTTTCTCTTCTTCCTATTATTAATACTTCTGATTTACACTTTTTTTTTTTTTTTTTTTTTAAAGACAGTTTCACTCTGTCACCCCGGGTGGAGCGCAGTGGGGTGATCTTGGGTTCAAGCAATTCTCCTGCCTTAGACTCCCCAGTAGCTGGAATTACAGGCGCCCGTCACCAGGCCAGGCTGATTTTTGTGTTTTTATTGAAGACCGGGTTCACCATGTTGGCCAGGTGGTCTTGAATTTCTGACCTCAAGTGATCCACCCGCCTCGGCCTCCCAAAGTGCTGGGATTATAGATGTGAGCCACCTTGCCGGCCTAGACTTCTTACTATAGTATTTATCCTTCTACTGCCATGTCTTTGTTTCATGCACACATTTTGCTGGACCAAAAGTAGGTAACTATGTTTCTTAAAATGAATACATGGGCTGGGCAGGGTGGCTCACATCTGTAATCCCAGCACTTTGGGAGGCTGAGGTGGGTGCATCACCTGAGCTCAGGAGTTTGAGACTAACCCAGCCAACATAGTGAAACCCCATCTCCACTAAAAACACAAAAATCAGCCAGGCGTGGTGACTGGCCCCTGTAATTCCAGCTACTGGGGAGTCTAAGGCAGGAGAATCACTTGAACCCAAGATGACCCCACTGCACTCCACCCTGGGTGACAGAGAGAAACACCATCTAAAACAAAAAATAAATATGTGTTAAATTAGAGGTTCTAAGCCCACCTGGTAAACAGAGGCAACAATGCTGACAAATAATATTAAATTATTTTATTTCACTAAAGCTTTAAATAAGGGCCAAAATACACAAAAATCAACATAAAATGGATTAAAATCCTAAACGTGTAACATTTGAAAACCAAAACTCTTAGAAAAAAACATAAGGGAAAATCTTCATGACACTGGACTGGGTGATGATTTCTTGGCTATAATACCAAAAGCACATGTGCATGACAAAACCAAAAACAGACTACAGTCATGTGCCGCCTAACAACGGGACACATTCTGAGAAATGCATTGTTAGTTGATTTTGTTTATCAACGAACATCAGAGTGTACTTACACAAACTCAGATGGTGTGTGTATGTATCTTTTTAAGATGGGAGTTTTGCTTTTGTTGCCTAGGCTGAAGTGCAATGGCATCATCTCAGCTCACCGCAACCTCTGCCTCCCAGGTTCAAGTGATTCTCCTGCCTCAGCCTCCTGAGTTGCTGGGATTACAGGCATGTGCCACCAACCCTGGCTAATTTTGTATTTTTAGTAGAGATGGAGTTTCTCCATGTTGGTCAGGCTGGTCTCAAGCTCCTGACCTCAGGTGATCCGCCTGCCTCAGCCTTCCAAAGTGTTGGGATTTCGGGCATAAGCCACTGCACCCGGCTGGTATATATATTTTTATTTATATATTTTTTTCACATGGAAAACCAATTGTCCCAGCACCATTACTTAATATTAGTCACTTCCTCTCCTTGATCTGCAATGCCATACAGCAGGTTTCTATACACAGTATGCTCCATTATAATCTTATGGGCCCACTGTCACATATGTCATGACATCACTGACCAAAATGTCATCATGCAGCACATGACTGTATATTAAACTTAAAAACTTTGGTGCAGCAAAGTTGATCACCAGAGTAAAAAGGCAATCCAGTGACAGTGTGAGACTCCTTCTCAAAAAAAAAAAAAAAAAAAAAAGGCCATAAAAGAGATTTTTCCCATTTGCAAAAGTAGCATTGCATACAAATTTAAAAAAAAAAAAATTTTTTTTTTTTTTTTTTTTGACAAGAGTCTCACTGTCCCCCAGGCTCAAGTGCAGAAGAATGATCATGGCTCACTGCAGCCTCAACCTTCCTGGGTTCAAGTGATCCACCTGAGTAACTGATAACTACAAGGGTGTGCTACCACACCCGGCTAATTTTTAAATTATGTTTTTATTTTTATTTATTTATTTTTTTTTGAGATGGAGTCTTACTCTGTCGCCCAGGCTAGAGTGCAATGGAGCAATCTTGGCTCACCACAACCTCTGCCTCTCAGGTTCAAGCAATTCTCCTGCCTCAGCATCCTGAGTAGCTGGGATTACAGGCATGCACCACCACGCTCAAGCTAATTTTTGTATTTTTAGTAGAGACAGGGTTTCTCTATGTTGGCCAGGCTGGTCTCAAACTCCTGACCTCATGATCCGCCCGCCTCGGCCTCCCAAAGTGCTGGGATTTACAAACATGAGCCACTGCGCCTGGCCTTTATTTTATTTTTAGAAATGGGTCTCCCTAAGGGCTGGGCGCGGTGGCTCATGCCTTAAAAAACTTTTAAGGCAGAGGTTTCAGCTTACTAACACCTCATTTCTAATGATGTTCTATCACTTCTCAGCCTTTTGACTAAGACCAAGGGTAGTACCTGATGATGTTCTACCATAATACTTTTTTTTTTTTTTTTTTCCTCCAGACAGAGTCTGAACTCTGTAGACCAGTCTGGAGCGCAGCGACACAATCTCAGCTCACTGCAACCTCTGCCTCCCAGATTCGAGCAATTCTCATGCCTCAGGCCTCCTGGGTAGCTGGAACTAGAGATATGCACTATCATACCTGGCTAATTTTTTTTTTTTTTTTTTTTTTTTTTTTTGAGACGGAGTTTCACTCTTGTTACCCAGGCTGGAGTGCAATGGCGCGATCTCGGCTCACCGCAACCTCCGCCTCCTGGGTTCAGGCAATTCTCCTGTCTCAGCCTCCTGAGTAGCTGGGATTACAGGCACACGCCACCATGCCCAGCTAATTTTTTGTATTTTTCGTAGAGACGGGGTTTCACCATGTTGACCAGGATGGTCTCGATCTCTTGACCTCGTGATCCACCTGCCTCGGCCTCCCAAAGTGCTGGGATTACAGGCTTGAGCCACCGCGCCCGGCCTGGCTAATTTTTTTATTTTTGGTAGAGATGGGGTTTCACCATGTTGGCCAGGTTGGTCTCGAACTCCTGGCCTCATGTGGTCTGTCCACCTCAGCTTCCCACAGTGCTAAGATTAGAGGCATAAGCCACCATCACCACACAGTCTCTACCATAAATCGTAACTGGCTGAATAGAGTTATCAAATATTTATTATAAAATGGTTTTTTTAAAAAAAATGTAGATAGCATCCAAAAGGTGAATTATTTAGGTATTTACAAATTATTTAAACTGATTATATCCCGGAAACTCAAATTGTACCTACAATAAGAACTGGAAACACACGAATGATAAGGACTTGAAAATCTGGCACGCAAACATTCTCTGATGTTCTTACTATGTGTCATGTACTGCTCTAAGCAAGCATTACTATGTATCACCCCCACAACAAATTTAATTTAATCCTACACTACATCCTATTAAGATCAGTACTCATTATTTTGGTCTTTTTTTTTTTTTTTTTTTTTGAGACAGGGGTCTCAGTCTGTTGCCCAGGCGGGAATTCAGCGGCACAATCACAGCTCACGATAACCTTGAACTCTTAGGCTCAAGTGATCCTCCTGTCTTAGCCTTCCAATAAGTTAGGGCTACAGGAATACCCCGAGCCCCATCCCCACACTACTCTACTAATTTTATTTTACTTTTTTATTGTTACTATTTTTGAGTCAGGGTTTCACTCTGTTCCCCAGGCTAGAGTACAGTGGTACAATCACGGCCACTGTGATCATGGTGTACCTTCAACCTCTTGGGCTCAAGTGATACGCTCACTTTAGCCTCCCGAGCAGCTAGGACTACAGCTTCATGCCACCACACCAACTAATTTTTCTGTTTTTTGGTAAAGACGGGGTTTTACCATGTTGTCTAGGCTGATCTCAAACTCCTGGGCTCAAGCCATCTGCCTGACTTTGCCTCCCAAAGTGCTGGAACTACAGGTGTGAGCCACCACGCCCAGCCTATGTTTGTTTTAAAGATAAAAATTGGGGCACAGAAAAGTCAACTTGTATAGTTACAATCAGTAGAAACCAGATGCAATACAATCTCCCTAAATTAATCACTCACTGCTTTAATTAATTACTCTCAACCATACTTTCTCATTACCCTTAAGATATTTATAAAATGGACTAAAATCCATCTAAAAATTGTGAAACATTAACCCTAAACATAGGAAAATCTACAAAACCATTACAGGAAACTCCAAAACATGTGCTCTAATAACCTGTCGCTTATCACCCATAAAAAACTATCTTTTGGGAGGACCAATCCATATTTAAAGAGGAAGGATATATGTTTTCTGTCTATATAGTCCCTGTGTAACTCCAAATAACTCATGCATTCTCTACTCTCTTGAGCATAATCCACCAAAATGACAAACAAAGAAAGTTAAGAAAAACGGCCGGGTAATCACACCTGTAATCCCAGCACTTTGGAAGGCTGAGGTGGGTGGTTCACCTGAGGTTAGGAGTTCGAAACCACCCTGACCAACAAGGTGAAACCCAATCTCTATTTTAAAAAATTTTAAAAAAAAAAAGTGAAGAAAAACACCAATAAACATAGTATGAGGGTTGAGTCATTAGCTTACTACCACTAAAGTAATGACACCAGTATTTATTATTCACTAGATTTTTATTCACTCCCAAAATAATTGTGTATATCTGTCTCAAAGTCAAAGGACATACAATGACAAATGCAATATGTAACACATTTAAACAGTAGAACTGCCCCAAGAATACCATCTCTAGATGGCTCCCTTACCAGCTTCCTTTTCTTTTTATTTTATTATTTTATTTTTTTCTGAGACAGTCTCACTCTGTCACCCAGGCTGAAGTGTAGTGGCACGATCTCAGCTCACTGCAAACTCCACCTCCTGAGTTCAAGTGATTCTCCTGCCTCAGCCTCACAAGTACCTGGGGTATGCCACCATGCCTGGCTAATTTTTGTATTTTTAGTAGAGATGGGGTTTTGCTATGTTGGCCAGGCTGGTCTGAAACTCCTGACCTCAAGTGACCCACCCGCCTCAGACTCCCAAAGGGCTGTGGGCCTGCCACCACACCCGGCCCACCGGTTTCGTTTTCTACTGCACTCTCTCTCCCTACAAATTTCCAAATGTTAATGACACTTAGAAAATTCCTTTGTAAAAGTAATATCCTAAAAAGAAAAATCTGGTTACTTTTATAGTAATGAAACACATGAACTGTAACTCTCTTTTGGGGTCCTGACAATAACAGAAGAAATACTCTCAAAATATTAAGTGAAGGCCGGGCGCGGTGACTCAAGTCTGTAATCCCAGCACTTTGGGAGGCCGAGGCGGGTGAATCACGAGGTCAAGAGATCGAGACCATCCTGGTCAACATGGTAAAACCCTGTCTCTACTAAAAATACAAAAAAATTAGCTGGGCATGGTGGAGTGTGCCTGTAATCCCAGCTACTCAGGAGGCTGAGGCAGCAGAATTGCCTGAACCCAGGAGACGGAGGTTGCGGCGAGCCGAGATCGAGCCATTGCACTCCAGCCTGGGTTGCACTCCAACCTGGGTAACAAGAGCGAGACTCCATCTCAAAAAAAAAAAAAATTAAGTGAAAAGCTACTAATTTAATTTTGAAAATATTTTGAAATACTTCAAAATATTAAGTGAAAAACTACTAATTTAATTTTGAAAATGCTATCATAGGCCAGGTGCAGCTCACATCTGTAATCCCAGCACTTTGGGAGGCCAAGGCAGGTAGATCACCTAAGGTCAGGAGTTCGAGACTAGCCTCACCAACATGGTGAAACCTCGTCTCTACTAAAAATACAAAGATTAGCCGGGCGCAGTGATGTGCACCTGTAGTCCCAGCTACTCAAGAGGCTGAGGCAGGAGAATCACTTGAACCCAAGAGGTGGAGGTTGCAGGGAGCTGAGATCGAGCAACTGCACTCAGTCTGGGGAACTGAGCAAGACTCCGTCTGAAAAAAAAAAAAAAAGAAAGAAAGAAAGAAAATGCTCTCATAAAATGATTCTGTCACAAAAACAAGGAGTATCAGTTTCCAAAGCAATTAAGTACACTTATTTGATTCAGTCATTCTGTGTTTCTTAAAAAGCTGGTGTGGAACCAACAGATAAAAATTACAAAATAGGCCAGGCATGGCGGCTCATGCCTGTAATCCCAGCATTCTGAGAAGCTGAGGTGGGTGGATCACCTGAGGTCAGGAATTCGAGACCATCCTGGCTAACATGGTGAAACCTCATGTCTACTAAAAATATAGATGGGCGTGTTGGTGCATGCCTGTAATCCCAGCTACCTGGGGGGCTGAGGCAGGAGAATGGCTGGAAGCCGGGAGGCAGAGGCTGCAGTGATCTGAGATCCCGCCACTGCACTCTAGCCTGGGCAATTGAGTGAGACTCCGTGTCCGGGGAAGGGTAAATTACAAAATAGGGTATGTTGGATCAACACAAGAGGGCTAACCCTGAGAATCATCCCATAAAGGAACTGCCTATGAGAGCAGGCATTAAGCTCCGCCTAATGCCAAGTATTAAAGGGAAGGCTAGAATGCTATTATACAAAGGAGGTCAGTGACAGGCCACTGTAGGTGACTGACACATAAGGCACCCTCCACATTACACTGTAACAACCACGAGACTTACCTGTGTTTTCGCAGGTACGTTTCTAGTGTTTCTAAAAGACAACTCGAGTCAATTAAAACTACTTCATCCCTGCATTCCTGGGACATTAGTTCCCATACATCCATCCAACAACCTCTGTAGAAAGAACAAGTATTAGTGAAAAGGGAGAATACAGAAGGGTTAAAACATTAAAAACAAAAAACAAAAAACAAAAAACAGAGTAAAGTATTGCTTGATTTTACCTGGCTGTTCCCTGGAAAGGTCCATAATGGAAAATGATCCTACACTTGCTGTCCTTCCTGTGGTCTTCACTACTTCTCTTATCTGTACTTAACTTCTCTGAACTGACACTGCTACTGCTCCCTTCACTGTAGTACAGTATAGTACAAAGCTTAGTGACACTCAGATAATCTGAAGAAAGAATTTCTACAGTCTAAATTAAAATCATGAATGCTTTAATTATTAATATATCAGAACATGTTTATACATTATGATTACTCACTTTATATTAAAATGTTCATTTAAATGTGTGCTCACATCTTTATATAAAAACTTCTCCTTGACTATCAAGTCTATCCGATACAAATTAACAACATTTGTAGTTATCAAGACAGCAACTGGTTAATAAATTTATTCTATGAGCAAATACAGTTGGAATGTTCTAAAGTCAAAATACCAAAAAATTTATAAACACAGACCAATCTTCCACAAATTGAAAATTCTAAGAAGTTTTGATCTACTTAATTAGATCATCATCAAGTAATTACTTTTTCCTTTTATTTTGTAGAGATGAGGTCTCTGCTGTGTTGCCCAGGCTGGTCCCAAAACCACTGACCTCAAGTGATTCTCCCACCTCAGCCTCCCAAAGCACTGAGATTACAGGTTTGAGACACCATGCCCACCTCATTTTTTTTCTCTAATCATTACTTTTTAAAGGTAATCCATGATAACAAACTATCATCTACCTTCATATGTACAAGTAGCTGGAAAAGTCACAGATTAACCTAATTACATTAAGTTTTAAATTTTCTAAAATAAATATAGTACACTAAGATGAACACTTTATACAGCCTGAATTAATAAGAACTATGCAGTAATTTTTTTTTAGACAGGACCTTGCTCTGTCACTCAGGCTGGAATGCAGTGGCGTGATCTTGGCTCACTGCAACCCCCACCCTCCCACCACAGCCTCCCGAATAGCTAGGACCACAGGTGTACACCACCACACGAAGCTATTTTTTCGTTATTTTTCTAAGTAGAGACAGCAGGGTCTTGTCATGTTGCCCAGGCTGGTCTCCAACTCCTGAGCACAAGCAATCTGCCCACGTCAGCCTCCCAAAGGGCTGAGATTACAGGTGTGAGACACCACGCCCAGCCCTAAACAATAATTTATTTGAAAAAAACTTACTAAAATCATCCCAGACTCTCCCTCCCCAACAGGGTTCAACTTTCATTATGAAAACTGCCTGACATTTTGCTTTGTCACAGCATATTTCTCTTGGACCTGCATTCCAAGGAAGATGTGGGTTTATATTCCATTCAGTGTCAGCCTTATGACTTTTCATTATTCTGAACAACTGGTTCCTCTCTGCTCTTCTGCAGGTCTCAGTACAGTCCTAAGAATTCATTACACCTTGGATGCTAGAGATGGAAAAACCTCTGAACCTTTCACTTCCTCTATAGAGCTAAATGGGTATTTTTCAACCCTCTGCCCGAAATATAAAGTCACCCACACAATTCAGCTCTGTACTCTTGCTCATAAGGGCTCAGGCCAAGGTTCGGCTCCCCTTATTTGTGACAACAAAAACCTCAACTGCTCTACTTTCCATGTTACGTCCTTCTACTCTCAACTCTGATATTTCCTCTTTTAGTAACTATACTTAATTAGTATAATGCATAATTTCCTAGAACTGAAAAACTCTCAAATTCAAGCTCTCATAATTGAGGGGAAGGTTCATAAAGAGAAATCAGAGCTGAAGAATGATTATCATCAAAATGTGAAAGCATTTTTTTTTTTTTTAAAAAGGCTCTATAAAAAAATCTATAGCTCAAATCAGGATTTTATGTATAAACATTCCAGACATTATCCCTTCTATTATTCTTTTAAGATCAAGCTTTCCAAAAAAGTAACCCTTCCATTTTCTGAGTCTGCTCCCACACTTTCCATTCACAGCTTAATTCATGACAACTTTACACTACATTCACTTTTCCATCACTGCGACCTGGATTCTGCTTCCACTCAATCACTAACTCAGCTCATCAAGATCACCAATTATCTCAGTGTTACTAAATCCAATGTCCTCTTTTGGGTCCATAATGACATGACAGCATTTAACACAGCTGACGGGACTTCCTTGAAACACTTTTGGCTTCTTCCCATCTGGCTACTCTTTGTCAAGTTTCTTTACTAACTTCTTTCCCACCATTAAATTCCTCAGAATTCTTTTAATCTCTAACATTCTCAAAAATAAGCTACAGGTCTACAACTCCAGTGTAGATCTTTCTTTCAGATCTCAAACTTACTACCAGGAAGACAATAACCTGACTTGCATAGACGAGAGAACACTCTCAGAAAGGCTGACCTAGATTGCTGTTTATTAGGATAAAACCTAATCAACTGTATTATACTTTCCCTGGAAAAAGGCTAAACAAATTTAAAAAGCTATGGGAGGGATGGAGCAGTAAGAGATGGGAGTGGAAAATACATAAAATGGAGAATCATAGTAGCATTTAATAGTGGTGGTCATCCAAGGGAGAGGGAGCCTTGGCTAAGCATATTGTACTGCTTAGCCTGCTATCTATGTAGCCTGTGGGAATAACTAAAGCAACCTTAGTCAAGAGACAGGCACTGCTTAAGATCAATTAAGTTCATTCACACTGATTCCATACTTAGCAAACAGCCTTCTAAAACATGTGACTTCCCATGCAGCAGGACTGTAGCTGGAAGGGGATATAAAATCTGTGGAGGTTTGTTTTGTTTTTTAAGGTGAAAGATAAAAAACATAGCTGTATGTATATTTAACAAAAGCAGGTAACTGAATAAGTGATTGAGAAGAAAGGAGATGGAGTGCAGAGCAAAAGCGGAAGGACTGGTCTTTGAAGGAAGGCAGCAATGAGCATAGACGTGTAAGATGCTGGAGTACCTGTTGCTTTTCAGTTCATCAATGAAGAGAATATGCTTAACAGAAAAAAAGCACCAGAAGGTAAGCTCTTTATTATATACCACGCGATGCCTTCAGCCAACAGGTCATTCTCTAATGTGAAAAATTAGCCTATACTCTGCATTTAGCAAGTCAGAAATTCTCTGAAGATACTGACAAATCTGAGAAGGAAGAAGGAGCTGGTAAAAAAAATTAAAAATAAAAAATTTTAAAAAGATACTGCCAGCCGGGCGCGGTGGCTCAAGCCTGTAATCCCAGCACTTCGGGAGGCCGAGGCGGGTGGATCACGAGGTCGAGAGATCGAGATCATCCTGGTCAACATGGTGAAACCCCGTCTCTACTAAAAGTGCAAAAAATTAGCTGGGCATGGTGGCACGTGCCTGTAATCCCAGCTACTCAGGAGGCTGAGGCAGGAGAATTGCCTGAGCCCAGGAGGCGGAGGTTGCGGTGAGCCGAGATCGCGCCATTGCACTCCAGCCTGGGTCACAAGGGCGAAACTCCGTCTCAAAAAAAAAAAAAAAAAGATACTGACAAATCGGGCCAGGCACAATGGCTCATGCCTGTAATACCAGTACTTTGGGTGAGGTGAGTGGATCAGCTAATGTCAGGGGTTTGAAATCAGCCTGGCCCACCAGCCAACCTGGTAAAACCCCGTCTCTATTAAAAATACAAAAATTGGCCGGGCGCGGTGGCTCAAGCCTGTAATCCCAGCACTTTGGGAGGCCGAGGCGGGTGGATCATGAAGTCGAGAGATCGAGACCGTCCTGGTCAACACAGTGAAACCCCGTCTCTACTAAAAATACAAAAAACTAGCTGGGCGTGGTGGCGCGTGCCTGTAATCCCAGCTACTTAGGAGGCTGAGGCAGGAGAATTGCCTGAGCCCAGGAGGCAGAGGTTGCGGTGAGCCGAGATCGCGCCATTGCACTCCAGCCTGGGTAACGAGAGCGAAACTCCGTCTCAAAAAAAATAAATAAAAAAAAATAAAAATACAAAAATTAGCCAGGCGTGGTGGCGGGTGCCTGTAATCCCAGCTACTCAGAAGGCTGAGGCAGGAGAATCACTTGAACCTAGGAGGTGGAGGTTGCAGTGAGCCACTCCAGCCTGGAGTGATACTACATCTCAAAACATAAAAAAAGATACTGACAAATCAAGCATGCAAAATAACAATCATCCTTAAGAAAACCTTTTTTTTTTTTTTTTTTTTTTTTTTTTTGAGACAGAGAGTCTTACTCTGTCACCCAGGCCGGAGTGCAGTGGCACGATCTCGACTCACTGCAACCTCCGCCTCCTGGGTTCAACTGACTCACATGCCTCAGCCTCTCAAGTAGCTGGCATTACAGGTAATTTCACCATGTTGGCTAGGCTGGTCTTGAACCCCTGACCTCAAGTGATCCACCGCCTCAACCCCCTCAAAGTGCTAAGATTACAGGCGTGAGCCACCACAAGTGGCCAAGTAAATTTCTTTAAGTTTGCAGAGTTTTATCGTGTTCAGAGTACTCCCACATTTAGGTGTCACATAATATGTGGTTCTAGTTTGGATTCTGATTCATACAAACTAATGTTTACCAAAAAAAAAAAAAAAAAAACTCAGACAATAGGGAAAATCTGAGTATGAATTAGGTATTCGATTATTACAGTTAATTTTGTTAGGTGTTATGATGTCATTGTGGTTATGAAAAAAATTTCCATATGTTTAGAGATTGCACATGGAAGGATGCAATAGCAGAATAACATGAAGCCTGGGACTTGCTTTAAAATACAAAGAAAAAGGTGGATAAATGAAGCAAGTGTGGCCACTCTTGATAATTATTGAATATTGGTTAAAAAAAATTACATGGGAGGTAGTCATTGTATTTTTCTAGTTTTCTGTGTTTGACAGTTTTAGTAATAAAACTTATTTATTTTTTTCAAGACAAAAGTCTTGCTCTTGTCACCCAGGCTAGAGTGCAATGGCGAGATCTTGGCTCACTGCAACCTCCATCTCCCAGGTTCAAGCAATTATCCTGCTTCAGCCTCCCGAGTAGCTAGGATTACAGGTGCCTGCCACCATGCCTGGTTAACTTTTGTATTTTTAGTAGATACGGGTTTCACCATCTTGCCCTTGCTGGTCTCGAACTCCTGACCTCAGGCAATCCACCCTCCTCAGCCTCCCAAAGTGCTGGTATTACAGGCATGAGCCATCAAACCCGGCCAACAAAATTTTTTTTTTGAGACGGAGTTTCGCTCTTGTTACCCAGGCTGGAGTGCAATGGCGCGATTCAGCTCACCGCAACCTCCACTTACTGGGTTCAGGCAATTCTCCTGCCTCGGCCTCCTGAGTGCTGGGATTACAGGCATGCGCCACTATGCCCAGTTATTTTGTATTTTTAGTAGAGACAGGGTTTCACCATGTTGACCAGGATGTCAAATCTCGATCTCTTGACCTCGTGATCCACTCGCCTCAGCCTCCCAAAGTGCTGGGATTACAGGCGTGAGCCACCGCACCCGGCAACAAAATTTTTAAAACATTTTTTACTGCTCAGTATAGGGGAAAAAAACCTTAGTACATTATTAACACACCACTGCCTAATCAAGTCTGTGTCAGGGAAGAATAAAAGTCTAAAAAATAATGGTGTTACACTGGGAAGTTAAGGTCAAAAAACAAAAAGGTGTCAATGTTACACTGGGAAGTTAAGGTCAAAAAACAAAAAGGTGTCAATGAGATATTAAAAATTTAACTTTTTATAAATTAATACAGGGGCCAGGTGCAGTGGCTCATTCCTGAATTCTCAGCACTTGGGGAAGTCAAGGCAGGCAGATCAATTGAGGCCATGAGTTTGAGACCAGCCTGGGCAACATGGCAAACCTCCATCTCTTAAAAATGCAAAAAAATTAGACAGGAGTGGTGGTGCCTACCTGTAATCCTAGCTACTCAAGAGGCTGAGGCATGAGAATTGCTTGAACCCAAGAGGCAGAGGTTGCAATGAACCAGTATCACACCACTGTACTCCAACCTGAGTGACAGTGAAAGGTTCATTCTCTTTAAGAACCTTTAATTAATTAATATTTGAGACACAGCAAGACTGCCTTAAAAAAAAATTTTTAAAAAAATTAATACAGAAGTACAGTTTTATAACATCCCATTCTCTACAAAACTAAGACTTTCTAAGTCACTTACAAAGTCCTTTCACGCTCCATGGCTTCTCCTCACCATTCCCACCCCCAGGCAATTCTGTAGGTGACAACTGTGGCACTGTGCTAGCAGAGGGTGAAAAAGCAGCCTTGGACACTATAGCACTTAACCAAGAAGAAAACTGCAAATTATTGTGTGGCAATATTTGCTTAAAAAATAAGTAAGCAGGCCGGGCGCGGTGGCTCAAGCCTGTAATCCCAGCACTTTGGGAGGCCGAGGCGGGTGGATCACGAGGTCACGAGATCGAGACCATCCTGGTCAACATGGTGAAACCCCGTCTCTACTAAAAATACAAAAAAAAATCAGCTGGGCATGGTGGCGCATGCCTGTAGTCCCAGCTACTCAGGAGGCTGAGGCAGGAGAGTTGCCTGAATCCAGGAGGCGGAGGTTGCGGTGAGCCGAGATCGCGCCATTGCACTCCAGCCTGGGTAACAAGAGCGAAACTCCGTCTCAAAAAAAAAAAAAAAAAAAAGTAAGTATAGAAAACTACAAATTAGTTACATAAATCCATATTGTCGTTTTTTTCAAACCTTGGTAAATTAGGGACACCTAGAGATAAGAAAGAAAAATAATTTATACATTATGACTATTCTATAGACCAAAGAATGATTACCACTACTTCAAAAACCTTAATATTAGCTGCATAAATTTCCACAAAGACTTCAACCACCTGGGCACAGTGGCTCATGCCTGTAATCCCAGCACTTTGGGAGGCCAAGGCAGGTAGATAATGAGGCCAGCAGTTTGAGACCAGCCTGGCTAATAGGGTGAAACCCCGTCTCTACTAAAAATACAAAAATTAGCCAGGCGTGGTGGCACGCACCTGTAGTCCCACCTACACAGCATGCTTAGACAGGAGAATTGCTTGAACCCAGGAGACAGAGGCTGCAGTGAGCCAAGACCGTGCCACTACACTCCAGCCTGGGCCACAGAGGGAGACTGTGTCTCAAAAAAGAAAAATAAAAAGGCTGGGTATGGTGGCTCACATCTATAATCCCAGCACTTTGGGAGGCTAAGGTGGGTGGATCACGAGGTCAGGAGTTCAAGACCAGCCTGGCCAAGACGGTGAAACACCACCTCTACTAAAAACAGAAAAAAATTAGCTGGGTGTGGTGGCACATGCCTGTAGTCCCAGCTACTTGGGAGGCCGAAGCAGAAAAATTGCCTAAACCCACGAGATGGAGGTTATAATGAGCCAAGATCGTGCCACCACTACACTCCAGTGTGGGCAAGAGTAAAATTCTGACACACACACACACACACACACACATATACACACACACAAAAGACTAAAGACTTCAACCTCCCTCCTCTAAAACATGTTTAACATAAGAAAAAAAATTTTTAATCAAATCTATATTGAGACTTTATACCTATCAATGCAAAAAGGCCAACAGAACAAGATGATCTATTTATTTTGACCTTTGTCATAGAGTATAACCAATTAATGAATTAAAGCCAACACTGGATTTATTCTTTTTACTATATATGATCAATATGTATAATCTTAACAATAACAAAGCCTCTTGGTATTCAATTCTACTTACCCCAAAGGTTTTGGCTTGTGCGTATCTAAGGAGTGCAACTGACATCTCTTATTCTTCTTACTTTTTGGAATAGCATCTATCATGTCATTTAGTTTGGACCTAATTAAGAATAAAACACATTCAGGGTTTAATTCATTTTTCTTTCAAATTTTAAAATCTCTATTTACTGTCTTTTAGAAAGAAGTCTCAAAACAAAAGCACCCACTTCTTTCTATCCCCACTGTATCTAACAGTGTGCCTGCCACTCGAGTATTTCAAGACTGACTGCTACAGGACTCCCAGCCATCTTCTCTTAACCAGCCATTATGTAAAGATACCAGTTGCAGTAGCACACACTTGGAGTCCCAGCTATTTGGGAGGCCGAAGTCAGAGGCTCACTTAAACCCAAGGCCAGCCTGGGCAACATGTCTTTAAAAAAAAAAAATACAAAAAAACTCACAAAACATTATGTAAACACAAAACATCCTTTAAGAGGAGCCATCAACAGAAATTTTATGCAAATATAGAATACATACTACTACTAGCTGCACCCTCCAGCCAACCAATGAGCAAAGTTTGTCAATTCTAACTTTTAAATATATCTAGAATCAGGCCTGGTGCAGTAGCTCACACCTATAATCCCAGCACTTTTTAAGGCTGAGGTGGGAGGATCACTTGAGGCCAGAAGTTCAAAGCCAGCCTGTGCAACATAGCAAACTTCACCATTACAGAAAATTTTTAAATGAGGCCAGACGTGGTGGCTCACGCCTGTAAACCCAGCACTTTGGTAGGCTGAGGCTGATGGATCTCCTGAGACCAGGAGCCAGAGACTAGCCTGGCCAACATGGAGAAACCTCATTTCTACTAAAAATATATATGCATGCAAAATTTAGCCAGGTGTGGCAGTGCACACCTGTAATCCCAGCTACTCAGGAGGCCAAGGCATAAGAATTGCTTGAACCTGAAAGGCATAGGTTGCAGTGAGCCAAGATTGTACCACTGCACTCCAGCTTGAGACAGAGTGAGACTCTTTCTCAACAAAATAAAATCTAAATAAAAATTAATCAACAGCCAATCTAGAATCAAATCACTTCTTATCACCTCTACCATTATCATCTCTGTCCAACCCACGAATCTCTAGCTTTGTCAACTGCAATAGCTGGCCTCCTAAATTGTCTCTTTGCTGTCATCTTCTGCCCTGTCATCTTCATTCCAGGCCTCACTCCACAGCTAGAGTGATCCTTTTAAAACATTAATCAGATTATATTATTCTTCTGTTCAAAAACACTCCAAGGTTTCTTTTCCCAAGCCCAAGCATAGCAAAAATCAAAAGTCCCTACCACCATCTCTAAATAGGAAAGCCTCAGGGTTTACTCTTCAGATTTCTCCTTCTTTCCCTATTTATATTCACTAAATGAGACAAATTTACAGCTCTAAGCCAGATTTTTTCGAATTCTACTTGGATGCCTAATTGCTATCTCAAGCTTAACACACCCAAAGATGATCTGTTACATTTCTCCTCTCAGTCTTGTCCATCTCAGTGAATGCAAACCATTTGTCCATCATTACACCACAAATCTGAGAATCATCCCTGATGCCCTCCCTCACAACCAACCTATCCCAAAAAAATCCCATTGGCTCATTCTTCAAAACATATCCAGGATCCTTTATAATCATTTTTTACTACCTCCATGGCCATCATTCATTCTCAATTCAGAGGTCAAAGTAAGCCAAATTTTGTCGACTATGTTCACTCTTCTGCTCAAAACCTTCCCAAAGCATCTCACCTCACTCACAGTAAAAACAAAAGACCTCGGCCAGGCACGGTGGCTCACACCTGTAATCCCAACACTTTTAGAGACCGAAGCAGGCAGATCTCCTAAGGTCAGGAGTTCAAGACCAACCTGGCCAACATGATGAAACCCCGTCTCTACTAAAAAAATGCAAAAAATAGCCAAGCATGGTGGTGGGTGCCCATAATTCCGGGTACTTGGGAGGCTGAGGCAGGAGAATCACTTGAACCCAGGAGGTAGAGGTTGCAATAAGCTGAGACTGAGCCACTGCACTCCAGCCTGGGCAACAACAGCAATACTCTATCTCCAAAAAATAAAAATAAAAAAAGACCTCAGGATGACCTACAAGGTGCTGCATGACCTTTTATTTACTCTTTACTCTTCTGACCCCATCTTCTATTACTGTTCCCTTTATTCTTCTGGTTCTAGCCATGACAGCTTCCTATTACTCAAACACACCAATAAAACCCCAAACTCTGAACCTTTGCACTAGCTGTTCCTTCTCTGCCTTCCCCCAGTTTTCTACAAGATTCGCTCTCTCGCTTCATTCAAGTCTATATTCAACGTCATTTTTATCAGGAAGGCCTTCCCTGACCACCCTCCACAGTAATTCTACCCCTGCTCCATTCTCTATCTCCCTCGGTTTTTCTAATTTATCACACCTGACAACTGCATATTTGCTTACTGTATGCTTCTCCCCTCATTGAAAGCAAAACTTTTACATTCACTGGTACACAGAAGTTACTCAGTAAAAGTATTAAATTAGACTCAATCTTTCCACCCAGAAAATAAGCTGCCACTGTCACCAAGCTGTTTTAAATTTTAACAGACCCATTTTCTCCTAATTGATTATACTTACCCATGTACATAAAATAATGTATAAAGCTTCTTTGCATCAGTCATGCAGCTTCTAGTTACAGACAGGACTCCCTTGGGCCCTACTGTTAAGGGTTCAAGAGCAGGATTGCCAGACTCTACGAGTTGGGAAAAGAGACGCTCCACACTGCGACGACAACCAACACATGGAACAAGCTGAGAAAGTGCACTCAGGACTTCACGTGATGTCACCACCATGGCAATACTTAGATCCTGTTGCTTAAGCATACCATGTCGCTGAAAGAGGGAAAGAAAATGAAGGAGTGCCCTTTAAAAAGACATAAAATTATTACACTTTCACTACTACTGGTTCTTATGTAGTAAGTACAACCTGGACAGGGCTTACCAGCTCTACCTGCAACTGATCAGAAAGGCAAAGTAGTCAGCCTTGTCCATGCTGTACTGACAAGTCCATGCTCCACAAACCCCCTTGTGCTCTAGACTCTAGGGCACATAAACAACTCCGATTAGTGTGCCAAAAAGCAGTCCTGTATCTGGAAATGTAGGGCCGGTTCAGTCAGTATTAAGCCAGTATTCTTACCACCAAAAGAAGGACACAATAGAGCTGTACCATTTTTTGTTTTGCTACCACTTTTAACAACACACTCACTATCACTATATTCAGCTACAGGAGTCAAGTTAGGATGTTAATCATGTGGAGCAGCAATTCTCAATCCAGAGGTATGAACAGGTGTATTACAGATTAGTGGGAGAAAACATGGCCCATGTTTCCTACGTAGGGAAGTGAATAACTGGCATGCTGCTGCATATGAATGGTATCTGCTGGTTATGACAAGGTAGGAAAACGACTGAGAACTGCTGCTGCAGAGAAATGAGCAAACTCTAGTAAATAACTACTACCTGATGGAGTTATAGTTACACTGCAGTTGACCAAAAACAGATGGGAAAGTAGAATAATTCCCAAGAAGCATTTTCTCACATTTACCATTACCCTTCAAAGTTTTCTCTAAAAGTAGAAATAAGAATTCTGAAGTAAACAAGTCATCTTTCAATATCTTAATTACAGTCTGCCCTCTGTATCCATGGGTTCTACATCTGTGAATTCAACCAACCAAGGATCAAAAATATTTTAGGGGAAAAAAATGATGGTTGCCTCTATACTAAACATGTACAGACTTTTCTTATCCTTAGTCCCTAAATGATACAGTATAACTACTATTTACAGAGCATTTACATTGTATTAGGTACTATAAGTAATCTAAATATGCTTTAAAGTATATGGGAGGATGTGCAGAGGTTATATGCAAATATACATCTTGTTTTTTTCTGAGACAAGGTCTCACTCTATTGCCCAGACTGGAATGCAGCAGTGCAATCTCAGCTCACTACAACCTCTGCCTCCTGGGCTCAGGAGATCCTCCCACTTCAGCCTACTGAGTAGCTGGGACCCCAGGCACATGCCACTACCTCCAGCCAACTTTTTTGCACTTTTTGTAGAGACAGGGTTTTGCCATGATGCCTAGGCTGTTCTCCAACTACTGAGCTCAAGCAATCCATACCTGCTTTGGTCTCTCAAAGTGCTGGGATTACAGGCTTGAGCCACCAGCCCAGCCCTTACTACACCATTTTCTATAAGGGACTTGAGCACTGTGGACTTTGGTTTGCATACGGATACTGAAACCAATCCCCCCTAGATACTGAGGGACAAATGTATGTTGTATTTAAGTATACTTATAAAGTACTATATTTCTCAGGAATTAAATAAAAATCACAAAATTCATAACATAGGATTATTTTGTCTGAACAAAATAATTACTGCTATAGCAGAAAATCGACACAACTTTAATGAAAAACTGTATACCTTATCTTTGAAAAACTAGGAAAGATGGCCTGGTGAACTTAAAGCCTTATGTACATGTAAAATATTAACACACCACCACCAATTCTTTTTCAAATGACAGTTACATAAATCAGGTAAATAACTATGTATATTTACTGTAGCAATGGTAAAAGGAAAGCAATTTCAGTGCAATATTAAGACTGAGAAAACCCTATGTAAAATTAATACAGCTAAATTTTAAATCAGTCCTTTTTAAAGACATACACCATTAAACACATTAAACACATATACCGTTAAAAACATCAATTGAAAAAACTATTACCTGAATGAACTGCTTTAGCTGTGCACCATTATTCTGATGCCCATCGAGATTTAACACATTGTCAGGAAATTCCATCACCATCTTAAAATGCAAACAGAACCGAAATCAATTATTTTACCCCTCTGAGAACAGGATATACTCCCAGAACAAAAACAGATCCCTAAAGCCATATTTGCACCCAACCCTACCCCTCAAAAATTTTTTAATCCAAGTACACAAGTTTATTTTTTTTTGAGACAGAGTCTTGCTCTGTTGCCCAGGCTGGAGTGCAGTGGCGCAATTTCATCTCACCACAACCTCCAGTTCCTGGGTTTAAGCAATTCTCCTGCTGCAGCCTCCCGAGGAGTTGAGATTATAAGCACCCACCACAGTGTCCAGCTAATTTTTTTATTTTTAGTAGAGACAGGGTTTCCCCATGTTGGCCAGGCTGGTTTCAAACTCCTGACCTCAGGTGATCCACCCACCTCAGCCTCCCAAAGTACTAGGATTACAGGAGTGAGCCACTGTGCCCGGCCAGAATAGTGCCTAACACACAGTGTTTGCTCTAATTATGCACAAAAAGGGCACACTGACATACTTATTCAATTATCAAAATTGACTACCAGAGGAACGCATATGTTAAGGAGGCTTCAGTAAGTCACATAATTGGAATTTATAATTAGTACATTTTACTGATCTGTTGTCACACCACAGATTTTAAGTAGTACCATTGTTATGTATCACTATAGGCCATTTTTACTATGTTATAAAATTAAAGCAGCATCCTGATTTCAGAGATACTAAAATGTGGGGAGGGAGAGGTATGCCTTCAAAACAATGAAAGTAACACATGTATATCTTAACTAAAACATGGTTAAAGATCAAACATACAGTACTAGGACAAACTGCTTCCACATAACAAGGAACACAAACTTCTACAAAACCAAAGAGTGAAGTCAGGACAAAAAGACCCATTTAAGGCCAAAAAATTATCCCTACCCAGTTGAATGTGCTCTTAAAAAGATCACTTCCTTCCCCAACCAACACCAAAGACCTGCTTCTTTAATGGACATGATCATTCCATTCCTTCTATATTAGAGAAGTTTAAAACATGCTTGTTCTAACAACAAAATGAGGCCTCATTAACAAGTAAGCCAAGTATAAGCAATAGATTTAAGAGTTTTTGCTTATCTGATAAGGGAGGAATATGAGATACATGAAGCAGGGAGACAGATACTAAGAGGATAGACTATTATGCAAATACCAACTTAATCCAGACTGTATGTACAACACAATTCAAATTTTTAATGTGCATACTTTCACATCTTTCAAAAAAAAGAAAACATATTAGATGCGGCTATCTCTAGGTAATGAGACAACTTTATTTATGAATGTGTTCCTGTATTTCCCAAATGTATTACAATGCATATGTACTATTTATTATGGGAGGGAGGGAGTTAATGCTCCTTGCTTCCAATTCTATATTCATTACACCATGTTCAGAAACGTGCTTCCATTTCAAGAGCCTTTTTGTTTTTAAAGACGGGGTTTCACCATGTTGGTCAGGCTGGTCTAGAACTCCCGACCTCAGGTGATCCACCCGCCTTGGCCTCCAAAGTGCTTGGATTACAGGCATGAGCCACCACACCCATCCAAGCCTTTTTTTTTTTTTTTTTTTTTTTTTGACAGTGTCTTGCTCTGTCACCCAGGATGGAGCATAGTGGTGCAATCTTGGCTCACTGCAACCTCCGCTTCCAGGGTTCAAGCAATTCACCTGCCTCAGCCTCCCACGCAGCTGAGATTACAAGCATCCATCACCACACACGACTAATTCTTTTGTAGAGACAGGGTTTCGCCATGTTGCCCAGGCTGGTTTCGAACTCCTCAGCTAAGGCAATCTTCCTGCCTCGGCCTCTCAAAGCGGTGGGATTACAGGCTTGAGCCACCGCACCCCGCCCACTTCAATAGCTTTTACCATTATAGAAGTTTTTTCTTCCATACATACAGATGAAATGTCCAAACGTCAATTATCCAATTTTCAAGTTTATCAACCCTGATATCTTGTTTCTAGTTTTCCTTCTCAGTCTTATTAATACCTCCAAAGGGGGGTAGCAGTAAGTAATAATAAAGATACTTCATAGGTACTAGACATTGTTATAAGCACTTTCATATATTAACTTTATTAACAGTACAAAGCAAAACTGAAGTCAATGGTCTGTTTTAATGCTGTAGCTATAAATGATCTGCTGAGGATGACTGAATTAAGCAAAATATCGAATGATCCATACTGCCTATTGTATTTATTGTAATTAACTTGGTCTCAATTTTTTTTTTAAATTAATAATCCTGGTATTGGAAATCCTGGTCCAGAAAACTATTATAATAAAAGCAATAAAACAGTTAATAGTTCAAGTAACTCGGATTTTCTGGAATCCTGTCAAGTCATTAAAAAGATATAAACTTTTGGAACCATGTGACTCAACAGAATACTGCAGGTAACTCCAAACCTACCATTTAAGCAACTAATACCTTGATTTTTATTTTCATTTGCTTTATACAAATACACACCATTTCACCACACACCAATAGCCATAATTTTTTAAGTAACAATTATCTATAATGTTTAAAAATCAAAGCTACCAATTTAAAAAACAAAGAATATTCCTTATTTAACCAAATCAAAGTCTCTCCAGTCTGGTTCTTAGGTGAAATTCTAAATCTGGCTCTGTATTTATTTTCATTCTGATCAACTGTTTTTGCTTTAACAAATTGAAACAGAGGCCAAAGAACACATCTAATGATACTGAGCCTGCAAGCCAATTTGTAAAATTTTTTATTTTTTTGAGATGGCGGCTCGCTCTGTTGTCTAGGCTGGAGTGCAGTGGGATGATCTTGGCTCACTGCAGCCTCCGCCTCCCAGATTCAACCAATTCTCCCACCTCAGCCTCCTGAGTAGCTGGGATTACTGGCACACCACCATGCCCAGCTAATTTTTGTATTTTTAGTAGGCACAGGGTTTTGCTATTTTGGCCAGGCTGGTCCTGAACTCCTGACCTCAGGTGATTCACCCTCCTCAGCCTCCCCAAGTGCCAGGATTACAGGCGTGAGCCAATGCGCCTGGCCTAAAATATTTTAATTATATGGATAATATCTAATTTAGGAATTCTTTCTAAAAAGTCAATGAATAACAGGGTTAAATATTTAAAAAAAACAAAACTCATTTCAAATCATTTCATTTTCACCTAATTAGTACAGAAACATTAAGATCGAATCTACGTGTCTTCCCCAGATTTCACCAGCTTAGATACTACTAAATTTTCTCTAGTATTTACTCAATACTACTGTGGCTAGAGACAACGTACTCATACTAAATATTACTCTGTCCTTGCCTTTCAAACACTTAGGACAATGGCTTTTTACCTTACTGTTTTCTGGCCAATCACTATATATGTGGTTTAATGTTTTAACAGATGAAGATAAAAAGGGGAAGGCAAAGAGGCTAGTAGCACAATTTGTTCTTCATCCTTTAAAACCACTTCCTTGACTTAATCTTGAGATTCTAGGTTACCTAAAGGAAGGCAGTCCTGTCAAGTATTTCAGGTGTGGTTTTATAGAAGCATCATTAGCATTCAACTTCATGAAGAGGTTGCCAGTCCATAGCCAGCCAAAAATACAGCAACTCATTGAGCTGTAATTACTGCTTTATAAAGTTTATTGAATCCATTACCCACTTTCACTCTTAAGCATCTGTCCTGGTTTCTCCTGACCACAAAACAATCTGTTTTTAGTGCATTCTCACAAGTTGTAACCAACAATATACTAAATTTGCATTTATTAAAATCACTGTCATGGTTTTACTCTTTTACTTCATCCACACAGCTATTTATAACATCTATCACTCTCAGTAAAATTAATCAAGAGTTGAAAGGAAACATTAAATGCTAAACTCTTAACAGCAAAACATCTAATTCCTAAGTGAATATGCTACCGTTTAATTTTTTTAAAAGTGTAAGGCAGTTAAGAACTCTCATCAGATTAATGCTGTACATGAAAACAAGAACAAAAAGGAAAAAAAAATACCCAAACTCTTATTAGAGTACTCTATTTAGACAGGCTTAAATTAGGAGAGTAAACTGCCATGCAGAAATATTGTAACAATCTGGCTGGGCATGGTGGCTCACACCTGTAATCCCAGCACTTTGCAAGGCGGAGGCAGGCGGATCATTTGAGGTCAGGAGTTCAAGACCAGTCTGGCCAAAATAGTGAAGCTCCAGTCTCTCTCCTCTCTACTAAAAATACAAAGTAGCCAGGCATGGTGGCAGGTGCCTGTAATCCCAGCTGCTCAGGAGGGAGGCTGAGGCACAAGAATCACTTTAACCTGAGAGATAGAGGTTGTAGTGAGCTGAGATTGTGCCACTGCACTCCAGCCTGGATGACGGAGACTCCATCTCAAAAAAAAAAAAAGACAAAAAGAAATATTGTAGCAATCTGACAACATGTACCAAAAATTTTATAAAAGGTTCTTATCCTTTGACCCAGTAATTCCACTTCCAAAAGCCTGAGAAAAAATCTTTTTTTTCAGAGTCTCACTCTGTCGTCCCAGGCTGTAGTGCAGTGGTGCAATCGCCGCTTGCCGCAACCTCCGCCTCCCGAGTTCAAGCGATTCTCCTGCCTCAGCCTCCCAAGTAGCTGGGACTACAGGTACCTCCCACCACACCTGGCTCATTTTTTGTATTTTTAGTAGAGACAGGGTTTCACCGTGTTAGCCAGGATGGTCTCCATCTACTGACCTTGTGATCTGTCTGCCTCAGCCTCCCAAAGTGCTGGGATTACAGGAGTGAGCCATTGTGCCCAGCAAGAAAACATTTTAATGCAAAGATTTGTGCATTATTTACATTCTTATTCATAGCAAAAACTAGAACCTCCATGTCCAACAGTGGAAGAATTATGGAATGTCATACAACAGAATATTACACAGCCATTAAAAATGTTTAAGAATGACAAGAAAAGCCGGGCGCGGTGGCTCAAGCTTGTAATCCCAGCACTTTGGGAGGCCGAGGCGGGTGGATCACGAGGTCGAGAGATCGAGACCATCCTGGTCAACATGGTGAAACCCCGTCTCTACTAAAAGTGCAAAAAATTAGCTGGGCATGGTGGCACGTGCCTGTAATCCCAGCTACTCAGGAGGCTGAGGCAGGAGAATTGCCTGAGCCCAGGAGGCGGAGGTTGCGGTGAGCCGAGATGGCGCCATTGCACTCCAGCCTGGGTCACAAGAGCGAAACTCCGTCTCAAAAAAAAAAAAAAAAAAAAAAAGAATGACAAGAAAAAAAACGTGTTTTTTTTTTTTGTTTTTTTTTTGAGACGGAGTTTCGCTCTTCTTACCCAGGCTGGAGTGCAATGGCGCGATCTCGGCTCACCGCAACCTCCGCCTCCTGGGTTCAGGCAATTCTCCTGCCTCAGCCTCCTGAGTAGCTGGGATTACAGGCACGTGCCACCATGCCCAGCTAATTTTTTGCACTTTTAGTAGAGACGGGGTTTCACCATGTTGACCAGGATGGTCTCGATCTCTCGACCTCGTGATCCACCCGCCTCGGCCTCCCAAAGTGCTGGGATTACAAGCTTGAGCCACCGCGCCCGGCCGAAAAAAACGTTTTCAAAATTACATTTAGTGAACTAAATCAGGGCATAAAACATTACCGAAAACATATTAACTCTACATCTATGTGTGTGTCTATGACTGAAATTACACCTGCTGCTTATCCCTGAGAAGTATAATTAAGGGTAACTGGTTTTGCAGTTATTTTTCAAGATTTTGGAAAAAATATCTATTTTGTCTGGGTGTGATGGCTCATGCCTATAATCTCAGCACTTCAGGAGGTTGAGGCAGGCAGATCACCTGAGGTCAGGAGTTCAAGACCAGCGTGATAAACACAGTGAAACCCAATCGCTACTAAAAATACAAAAAAATTAGTCAAGCGTGGTGACGTGCACCTGTAATCCCAGCTACCTCAGACACTGAGGCAGGTGAATCACTTGAACCCTGGAGGTAGAGGTTGCATTGGCCAAGATCATGCCACTGTACTCCAGTCTGGGCGACAAAGCAAGACTCTGCCTCAAAAAAAAAAAAAAGGCAGGGCAAGGTGGCTCACGCCTGTAATCCAAGCACTTTGAAGGCCAAGGCAGGCGGATCACCTGAGGTCGGGAGTTGAAGACCAGCCTGACCAATATGGTGAAACCCCGTCTTTATAAAAAAACAAAACAAAACAAAACAAAACAAAAACACCTTATTCTTCAAAGATTTCTCTAAAATAAAATCTGTATTCTATTTTAGAGAAATCTTAAATACCATTTTAGCCACACAGTATAAAACTATCTTAAATATTTCAACCATTCCACCAGCTTACTTGGGATTTTCTCAAATACACCTACATCACCCCTATACTCAAGTGTTCAAAACCAGTGAACTACCATGGTAATCTTCTAAACATGGATACAACATATCACATAAAAGAGCCCTTTTTTTTTGGAGACAGAGTTTCACTTTGCCTTCCAGGCTGGAGTACAGTCATGTGATCTCAGCTCACTGCAACCTCCATCTCCTAGTTCAATCAATCCTCTTGCCTCAGCCTCCTGAGTAGCTGGGTCTAAAGGCGCATGCGACCACACCCAGCTAATTTTTTTTGTAATTTAGTAGAGTCGCGTTTTCATCATGTTGCCCAGGCTGGTCTTGAACTCCTGAGCTCAGGCAATCCGCCTGCCTCTCGGCCGTTCAAAGTGGCAGGATTACAGCTGTGAGCCACAGCGCCCAGCCTAAGGCTACTTTTCCTTTTTGAAACTGAGTCTTGCTCTTGTCGCCCAAACTGGAGTGCAGTGCCACGATCTCAGCTCACTGCAACCTCTGCCTCCGCGGTTCAAGGGATTCTCCTGCCTCAGCCTCCTGAGTAGTTGGGATTACAGGCACCCACCATCATGCCTGACTAATTTTTGTATTTGTAGTAGAGACGTGATTTCATTATGTTGGCCACGCTGGTCTCGAACTGCTGACCTCAAGTAATCCGCCCTACTCAGCCTCCCAAAAGTGCTGGAATTACAGCCATGAGACACTGCACGCATATTTCTTTACATACAAGTCTGTTAATTTCATTTTTACAAGTCCAAGTTACAACTGCCAGTTTAACTAAGGCTAGAGATTTCAGCATCCCTACTAAAATGCTAAAGTTTGCCACTTACTGTAAACATTGTTACTATACTGCAATATTTAGCTACTACCAAAATTCCAAGACTACTATTTGAAATAAGTTCAAATGATGTTTCTTCAGTGCATTACCTATAGACCTTAGGAACAAAGACAAAACCTAACCTTAACTTTAGGCACGCACTGCCATCCAACTATCAAAGGACCAGTGCAGAGCATAAAACTCTGATACAGGAATTTCTTCCCTCTTCCCATTCTCTCCCAACAGGTGTTTTGCTCTGTATTCTCCCTTTCAATAATATTTGGTAGAATATCCTCAAAGAAACTTGTTTCCCTTGACAAGAATTTTCACTAACATTCACTCACAGCATTCAATGACTGTGCAGAAGTTCCAACAGAAATAATCGTCTCACTCGTTCCTTTGTGATAAAAACCCATTCTGAAGCAAAGAAAAACTGCACCTTTTCCTAAACGTTATTTTGAGATATTTAAACTAAGTGAGTTTTTTTATTTGCCTTAGTCACAAGTCCACAGTACAATAAAAGCAAAATTCAACCACCAGATACAGTGCAAAGTAAGTGCTAAACCACGCTGCAAGGTTACATCTTTTCCAGTGGAAAATTTTAGAAAGTCATATCACTGTGGAGAGAATACAGTATAAAAGCACCTAAAAAGTTGGCCATTTTAAAGTGCTAGGTGACAGATGTATTAATGTGCTGCATTCACAAAGGTGGTCATGTGAGTATTCCAAGAACGAATAAGTGTCTTTTAAAGCCTAATTTATGTTGGTTTTCCCTGTTTTGATGTTACTCAATTATAATCTTACATCCAAACTCTGTGGAGTTTTTAACTCCAAAGCCATTCTGGGACAATAAACCTCAAAGGCTGACATCAAACTATATGCTTTAATAAAGTGTTTATGTTGGCGGGGGAGAGAAAAAAAGAAAGTATCAACAAATGAATTCCTATCCGGAATCCAAACTGAGAAATGCATCATTTAATTGGATCACAGTGCTAGTTTCAACTATTTAAAAATACAAGTCCGTTATACTTCTAATGCAGAAAGTACAGAAATCATAATGAAGGCACACAAGTAATTTCTAATGCATCAGTACTATTTACTTTTTGTCAGAACAAATCATTCTACCTTTTTTCATGAAAAATAAATGCACTTGAATAATTGTAGATGCTGTCACTTAAAAAATTCTAATAAATTGAGTCATTCAATAGCTCTTATCCTTTTTAGAGTACTGCAGCTCAATCAAGTCTTAATTGAGACTGGCAAGCATAAAGGCATAGACTGGCATCTCTACAATGACTTGCATTTTACATAAAATTTGAAAAAACTTCGGTAGATATTTGCAAAAAAAAAAAAAATATTGAGGGACAAAATTAATCAACTGACTTTGATAGCAGAATACTGATGAGATGAAGAGACTTAGCTGCACCTTACCGAAATAAGCCAATGTATAATCCAAAAGCTTCAGCATCATCAAAACGCAGATTTCAAAAGATATTCGGAAAAGGTTAATTTCTCAAGAAATAGTGGCAAGCAACTGCACTCATTTCCTGTTCAGATTCAATTCAAATTTCAGCCATTTCCTTTTAAAGGAAATAGTACAGCAACAGAGGGCAGAGGGTCGGTAATGCTACACTACCAACTCTAAAGAAGAAAGTACCCGGAACTGGGTCTTAACACTGAAGATGAGCCATCACCTTTTTATAGTACTCTTACACATTCAACAATTTGGCTTGCTTAAATAAAAAAAAAAAAAAAAAGTCCACCTGTAAACTAAATAATGCCAAGAAAGCCCATTTTGAAGAGGCAAGGCCTAGCAGTACAAACATTTCAAGAGTTTTAATGCATCGGGCAAGACGGGACTATTTGCAACGAAATCAAACCATGTTAGTGGAATCTTGACTGTACCAGAGCCTGTCACTCTGCCCTCAGTAACTAAGCTTATGTAGTGAGAGCTACCGGTATCAAAATAGACAATGCACAGGTAGCAGTGCAGCTGCGACATTTCCAGGTAATTAAGCCTCCCCGAGGATAGGTGGTTTCTGGAAGGGGTAGGCCCTAAACGCCCAAGATCCTTCAACTCCCTCTCCGAGACCCGTGCTTTGGCAAAAGCAGCGTCTCCTAAAGGAAAAGGGTCAAGGGAGAAGATTCCAAAACAAGGAAGATCTAGAGACAGGGAGTGCGTACGCAGCTCTGGGCCGACCAGAGGTTACCAAGCGACCCACTGCAAAGGCGAGTCCGTGGGGCCTGCTGGAGAGAAGGCCTCGCCTAGGAGTTGCAACACACTCTTTCTCCAGTGCGCAGCGCTCGGCCTGGGGGAGGGGAGGAGGGGAAACAGCTGCCAGGGGAGCGGCGGGCCCAGCCCGGCCCGGCCCGCTCACCGTCAGGGTGTCGTCTATGTAGAGGGGAATCTGCCTCCTCTCGAAGGGGAACTCCTCCTCCCCGTCCCTGCACACTGCCACCAGTCGCGCCATCCTCCCCGACGCTGCCGTTGCCACCGTCACCACCTCCTCCCAGCTGCTGCCGCCGCCGCCGCCGCCGCCGCTGCCGCCGCTCCTGCTGCCGCCGCCGCCGCTGCCGCCTCCTCCCAGCTCCTGCCTGCAACAGCCAAACCCCGCGAGCGTAAGCACCCGCCGCCGCGCAGCACATTCGCCACGGGGGGCAGGGAGAGGAGCGGGAGGGGACGGGAGAGCCGGGCTGCGTTTCCCATCACCCGATTCCACACGCGCTCAGCCAATGAGCGCCCAGCGCCGCCGGGACCCGCCCCCTCGCGCCGCGCTCCCTCCCTCCCTCCCGGCCGGCCCCCGCCCGCCCGCTGGCCTCCCGTCAGGGTCCAAAGGAGAGGCGGAAGGGACAGTCCGGCGCGGGGGCTCCCCCGCCCGCCGCGGAAGTCCCCGCCCCAGGACCCCCCACCCCTGGCCTCAGCCCCACAGCCCGATCCCCGCCGCCCGCCGCCCGGATGCCCTCCTCCCTCAGCTGACCCCCTTCCCCGGGTTTCTAGGCGCACCCCGCCCAGCCGGCCCCTGGACTGCAGTTGCCCAGCGCGACCCCGCCCCTGGGAGGGGTCGACCCCGCCACGGCTCTGCGGAGTCCCGGGAAGAGGGAGGCTCGGACCCTTTCCTCACCCTTCTCGGAGGAGGCTGTCGGTTCCGACCTTCAGCGTTTTCGTGGTCGCCTCCCTGACCCCCACCTCTGCTCCCCGTTACCAGCTGACGAGGCCCGCGACAGGGCCGGCCTGGGCGGGAGCGCGGCTCCGAATGCCGTTTCCTCTCCGGCAGTCAGCCGCTCGCGCCGCGGGGAGTGGGGGAGGGAGGGCGGGGGACAAGGGGAAGGTGGGGCCGGGCGGGGCCCGGCGCCGGGCGGGGCCGCTGTCATCTCGCGAGACTGGGGCCTGCCGCGCCGGGGTCTCCTCTGCAGAGATGTGCGCCCCGGCGATGGGGGGCCGCCCTGGCAGTCCCGCCGGCAGGACCGGCGTCGCCCTCGGAGTTCAGCCGTTCTGCGAGACCTGAACTAGGACTGGTAGGAGGGGCGATCCGCCCAACGTCGGGCCCTGGCTTGCGGGCTCGGAAGGCTTCCCCAAGGCCGAGGGGCGCCGCGGAGCGAACTCGCCTGACTCCGGGCTGACTCAGGGCGGAGGCCCAGGGAGGACCTGGGTGGGTGGCGAGGATCCCAGGTCAGAGGGGGCGGAAGGCGGTAAGGAAAGGGAGACGAGCATCGTGGGGAGAGAGACAAACTCTGGCCTCGGGTCTCTTGGCCTTGACGCCACTGAATTCGCGTTCCGCAGCGGGAAGGGGAGGCAAGGGCCCCGACACCCCGGCTCGCCAGGGCCCCGCCGCGTAGCTGCATCCCTGTCCCACTAGGGGACCGCAGGTAGTGAAGTGCTGACAGCTTGTGGTTGTCGTTTCACTGGAGGGAAGTAGAAAACTGGACAGTGGTGTGTGTGTGTGTGCGTCTTGGCCAAAGGAACTTCCTGGGCTGAGTTAAAGTGAGCAGTTACTCCTTGGGACGAAGTACTGGCACTGGTCGAAGGCCTTTCCCTCCTGCCACCTCCGAGGAAACAAAGCTGCTGGGAAGACACTTCCTCTCGCCACCGTGTGCTCAGTTCTGGCCTTGAAGGTTTTGGAGGTCTGTTGTGAAACCAAAAGAATTGGAAGACGTCACCGGGCGCGGTGGCTCAAGCCTGTAATCCCAGCACTTTGGGAGGCCGAGGCGGGCGGATCACAAGGTCAAGAGATCTAGACCATCCTGACCAACATGGTGAAACACCATCTCTACTAAAAATACAAAATTAATTGGGCATGGTAGCGCGCACCTGTAGTCCCAGCTACTAGGGAGGCTGAGGCAGGAGAATCTTGAACCCGGGAGGGAGGTTGCAGTGAACCGAGGTCACGCCACTGTATTCCAGCCTGGCGACAGAACAAGGCTCTTCCCCCCACCCCCAAAAAAAGAGTTGAAAAGATAATTTAGCCTGTGAAAGTCCTGGCGATCTGAAGGATAGAACCATTTGCTGTTGTATTTCCTGGTAGAATAAGCTGGAGCTGTGATACCTTTAAAAAGTATTTTGGTCATCACATGGAGTCGTAGAGATTAAGAGCAAAAACCCGTAGCCGTGTTGACTTAGGACATTGTGTGGTCATTGTTAGGGGTGGGTGACATAATAAATGAAGAACCATTGTTCATTCCCAAAGGTGTGATTCCCTGGTACATATTTGTGTCTTCTGGCCATGTTAGCAGAGTAGAAGAGTGTGATTATTAGCTAGAATCTAGAGAATCTCCCATTTTATGTTTATTTTATTTTTTTCTTTTTTTAAAAAAGCTGGGCGCGGTGACTCACGCCTGCAGTCCCAGCACTTTGGGAGGCCAAGGCAGGCGGATCACCGGAGGTAGGGAATTCGAGACCAGCCAGACCAACATGGAGAAACCCCTTCAACTACGAAAAATACAAAAAGTAGCCGGGCGTGGTGACGCAGGCCTGTAATCCCAGCTACTCGGGAGGCTGAGGCAGAAGAATTGCTTGAACCTGGGAGGGGCAGGTTGCAGTGAGCTGAGATCACACCACTGCATTCCACCCGGGGCAACAAAAGTGAAACTCCACCTCAAAAAACAAAAACAACAACAGCAATACAGGCCGGGTGCATTGGCTCACACCTGTAATCCCAAGACTGGGAGACAAGGCGGGCAGATCAATTGAAGTCAGGAGTTCGAGACCTGCCTGGGCAACATGGAGTAACCCTGTCTCCACTAAAAATACAAAAATTAGCCGGTCAGGGTGATGCACACCTGTAATCCCAGCTACTCAGGAGGCTGAGGCAGGAGAATTGCTTCAACCCAGAAGGCCGAGGTTGTGGTGAGCCAAGATTGCCCCACTGCACTCCAGCCTGGATGATAGTGTGAGACTCTATCTCAAATAAATAATATATATATATATATATATATATATATATATATATACACACTGTGGCTTTCAATATCTAGAGGTGCTCCTATATTGGCTACATCAATTAATGTACCCACATTTTTTTTTTTGTGACACATAGTTTAGCTCTTGTTGCCTGGACTGGAGTGCAATGGCCTTATCTCGGTTCACTGCAACTTCCCCCTCCCGGGATCAAGCGATTCCCCTGCCTCAGCCTCCAAAGTAGGTGGGATTACAGGCATGCGCCACCATGCCTAGTTAATTTTGTATTTTTGGTAGAGACGGGGTTTCTCCGTGTTGGTCAAGCTGGTCTCGAACTCCTGACCTCATGACCCTCCGGCCTTAGCCTCCCAAAGTGCTGGGATTACAGGTGTGAGCCACCGTGCCCAGCCTTAATGTACCTACATTAAATCCATTAAACTTCACTAGGATTCTGGTTGGTAAAGATTTATTATATTCTAATTACTTTGATTACTGATCACACACCAGCTACTAACAAAGAGTATTCAGCCTAGGGATTTAAGTCTCTGAAAAGATATTAAAACACATATGTAAAACATCATAAAATGAGATCACAACAATCTTTTTCCATCTGAGCTTACCTTCCCTAATTTTGGTTGCTGTTAGGTCCGCTGAACACAGTATCTTTGAACGGTGTTTCACAGACTATAGGAATTCAATGAAAATGTATTCTTAAGGTGAAAAAGGCAGATAATTTGCTAGATAAATTGCTGTTTCTCAAGGAGGTAGCCTGGGTGCCATAAATACAATAAAATCAATATCCCAAGGAAAATGCTTAGAAAATTATTTCATGACAAAATGATTTTTCGAAGTTTTTACCGTGCATCTTCCTGGTTTTAGAGTAGGCACTTGTCGCTATTGCTCGATTTTCAGCCATAACCGCTAGTACTGCAGCAAATATTTCTTGAATATTATCCTATGTACTTTAAAATGAAAAGCATCTGCTTTTAGAGAGCATACCTCTAATTGACAGAATAAATAATTGCTACATTAAAAGCCAATTGTGTGTTGCCTGTTATTTCTTTGGCATTGTGAAATGCAAGGTTGAAGGATTTGAAAGGCCAGGAAATCAAAAGCAAAGGCAATCAGCAGCAGAACACATTTTGCTGGTACCTAATAAAGAACAGTTAGAGGAATGGAGCTGTAACAAATTATCAGCAAAATACCATTCTTTTTCTTCTTAGGTCCAAATGTGTGAAAAGCTAGCCACAAAATGAAGGCATAAATGAGATAGATCTGTTCTCCACACTACCTAGGTAGTAGATGATTCTACTACCTATTACCTATATACCTATTACATATGCCTACCTATTACCTATATACTTATTATTAAGGAATTAATAACAATTCCTTATTTCTTAGCTTCATAGACGATGTTTTTGGGTTTTTTGCCTGTTTCTGAGACGGAGTCTTACTCTGTCACTCAGGCTGGAGTGCAGTGGAATGATCTCGGCTCACTGCAACCTCCAACTCCTGGGTTCAAGGGATTCTCCTGCTTCAGCCTCCCGAATAGCTGGGATTACAGGCACCTGCCACTACCCGAAGCTAATTTTTTGTATTTTTTGTAGAGACAGGGTTTCACCATGTTGGCCAGGCTGGTCTCGAACTCCTGACCTCGTAATTCATTTACCTTAGCCTCCCAAAGTACTGGGATTACAGGTGTGAGCCACCATGCCCAGCCCTTCGTAGACTATCTTTAAACTCCTAGGGAGCAACATATGGTTCTTGTATGATTTATATATATATATATATCAGACATTGATGCTCAATAAAAATAAAACTGGTTGTGTTCAGAGGCCGAGGCAGGTGAATCACAAGGTCAAGAGATCGAGACCATCCTGGCCAACGTGGTGAAACCCCATCTCAGCTAAAACTACAAAAATTAGCTGGGCATGGTGGCACACGCCTGTAGTCGGGAGGTTGAGGCAGGAAAATCCCTTGAACCCAGGAGGTGGAAGTTGCAGTGAGCCACGATCACACCAGTGTACTCCAGCCTGGCGACAGAGCAAGACTCCGTCTGAAAAATAGAAATAATAAAAAATAAAACTGGTTGTCATCTTCAGAACACAAGAGCTATTGGTGGATGTGTGGTAGACATTCCCAGTTTATAATTGTGTAAAATTAAAATTATGGGAGTGAGTCACTTTCTGAAGGGCATAGATAGGCTGAAGTCCTAGACCAGATTATATTCTTCTTACTCCTCGTTATCTTTCCCTCTCGCTTCTCTGCCCTCGAAAATTAATAGTTGCAAGGAAAATGATAGTTGATTAGAAGAGCTTTTGTTGTTTCATTAATACAACCACATTGTTTTATGTGGTAAGACAATCTGTGACCACAAAATGTTATTTAAATTACCATAGTGGCCTAAATCTGAAGATACATGGATTGGGTTTTCTTTTTCATGAGCTGACACTGGAGGTTCTGCTGTATCTGTCAAAAATAAACACACTTGGCCGGGCATGGTGGCTCACACCTGTAATCCCAAGCACTTTGGGAGGCTCAGGCAGGTGGATCACTTGAGGTCAGGAGTTCAAGACCAGCCTGGCCAATATGGCGAAACCTTGTCTCTACTGAAAATACAAAAATTAGCTGGGCAGGCCACCGTCGTCGGCAAAGCCTGAGTCCTGTCCTCTCGCTCTCCTCCCGAGGCAGCATGAGCTTCACCACTCGCTCCAGCTTCTCCACCAACTACCGGTCCGTGGGCTCCGTCCAGGTGCCCAGCTACGGCGCCCGGCCGGTCAGCAGCGCGGCCAGCGTCTATGCAGGCGCCGGGGGCTCTGGTTCCCGCATCTCCGTGACGCACAGCACCAGCTTCCGGAGCAACAGGGGGGTCGGGGGCCTGGCCGCGGGGATGGCCGGGGGTCTGGCAGGAATGGGAGGCATCCAGAACGAGAAGGAGACCATGCAAATCCTGAATGACCGCCTGGCCTCCTACCTGGACAGAGTCAGGAGCCTGGAGACCGAGAACCGGAAGCTGGAGAGCAAAATCCGGGAGCACCTGGAGAAGAAGGGACCCCAGGTCAGAGACTGGGGCCATTACTTCAAGACCATCGAGGACCTGAGGGCTCAGATCTTCGCAAATACTGTGGACAATGCCCGCATCGTTCTGCAGATTGACAATGCCCGTCTTGCTGCTGATGACTTTAGAGTCAAGTATGAGACAGAGCTGGCCATGAGCCAGTCTGTGGAGAGCGACATCTATGGTCTCCGCAAGGTCATCGATGACACCAATGTCACTCGGCTGCAGCTGGAGACAGAGATCGAGGCTCTCAAGGAGGAGCTGCTCTTCATGAAGAAGAACCATGAAGAGGAAGTAAATGGCCTACAAGCCCAGACTGTCAGCTCTGGGTTGACCGTGGAGGTAGATGTCCCCAAATCTCAGGACCTCGCCAAGATCATGGCAGAAATCCGGGCTCAATATGATGAGCTGGCTCGGAAGAACCGAGAGGAGCTGGACTCAGCTGATTGAGGAGAGCACCACAGTGGTCACCACACAGTCCACTGAGGTTGAAGCTGCTGAGATGACACTCACAGAGCTGAGACGTACAGTGCAGTCCTTGGAGATCGACCTGGACTCCATGAGAAATACGAAGATCAGCTTAGAGAACAGCCTGAGGGAGGTGGAGGCCCGCTACACCCTGCAGATGGAGCAGCTCAATGGGATCCTTCTGCACCTGGAGTCAGAGCTGGCACAGACCCGGGCAGAGGGACAGCGCCAGGCCCAGGAGTACGAGGCTCTGCTGAACATCAAGTCAAGGTCAAGCTGGACGCTGAGATCGCCACCTACCACTGCCTGCTGGAAGATGGCGAGGACTTCAGTCTTAGTGATGCCCTGGACAGCAGCAACTCCATGCAAACCATCCAAAAGACCACCACCCGCCGGATAGTGGATGGCAAAGTGGTGTCTGACACCAACGACACCAAAGTTCTGAGACATTAGGCCAGCAGAAGCAGGGGACCCTCTGGGGAGCAGGAGGCCAATAAAAAGTTCAGACATCAAAAAAAAAAAAAAAAAAAAATTAGCTGGGCATAGTGGCTCGCACCTGTAATCCCAGCTACTCAGGAGGCTGAGGCAGCAGAATCGCTTAAACCGAGGAGGCAGAGTTTGCAGTGAGCCGAGACTGTGCCACTACATCCCAGCCTGGGCGACAGAGCAAGGCTCCATCTCAAAAAAAAAAAAAAAAAAAAAAAAAGACAATAGAATACTAAACATTAGTATAGGCCAGGATCATGCCTGTAATACAGCGCTTTGGGAAGCTGTGATGGGAGAATTACTTGAGGCCAGGAATTGAGACCAGCCCTGGCAACCCCATCTCTATTTTTAAGAGATTTAAAGTAAATCTTAGCCATAGTTTTATTAGACTAGGTACTTGATGACTCTTTCTCATAGTTCTTTTTTTTTTTTTTTTTTTTTTGAGACGGAGTTTCGCTCTTGTTAGGCTGGAGTGCAATGGCTCGATCTCGGCTAACCGCAACCTCCGCCTCCTGGGTTCAGGCAATTTTCCTGCCTCAGCCTCCTGAGTAGCTGGGATTACAGGCACGCACCACCATGCCCAGCTAATTTTTTGTATTTTTAGTAGAGACGGGGTTTCACCATGTTGACCAGGATGGTCTCGATCTCTTGACCTCGTGATCCACCCGCCTTGGCCTCCCAAAGTGCTGGGATTACAGGCTTGAGCCACCGCGCCCGGCCCTTTCTCATAGTTCTTACTGGTTCTCCTTACCCCCCTGCCTGCCTCTGCAGCTTTCTGCCCATGCCATTCCTTTTTCTATGTGCACTTTTTCTATGCTTGGTGCACTCCCAACTTAGGACTTTCCTGAGGGATTCCTCCATCCAGAATGTTCTCTGCCATTTATCCCCCCAATCCCCAGACACAGAAGACTTTACAACTCTTCATCCCACTCATCAGCTCTAGCAAAAAAGAAAGAGCCATCTGTGGGGAAAACTTGACTCCTTACTAGGTCAGTTCTTGATTTGACACTCTTGACAACCTGTACTTTTTCTTCATGACTTAGCATCTTACAATAGATGTTTAATGTCTGTTTCTTCCACTACATTGCAAGCTCTGAGGTGTCAGGAAATCTGTGCTGGGCTTTTTATATCCCTAGCATAGGGTAGGCTAAAAGATGAACTAGTCCCAAAGCAAAACTTATCTCAATTATGTGTATAAACTATAATACAACATACATCAGCTTAGAGAACAGCCTGAGGGAGGTGGAGGCCCGCTACACCTGGAGTCAGAGCTGGCACAGACCTGGGCAGAGGGACAGCGCCAGGCCCAGGAGTACGAGGCTCTGCTGAACATCAAGTCAAGGTTTTTTTTTTGTTTTTTTGTTTTTTTCCACGGGATTCACACTTGTCAGCGATTTATTTTTTAAAAAGGGGGGAGGGTCCTGGAGGTGAGGGGAGAAGACTGTAAAGGGGAAAACTGAAAATTTGAGTATGTGCGAGTGTAAACTAACCCAAAATACAAACATGGGGGCGGGGGTGGAGGATTTTGATGCAATTATACAGGCAGGGTACTTAAAAAAAACCGACAACCAAAATTCCAACCTTGTAGCTTGGGTCTGAGTTATAGTTTATATAAAAATTAAAAACTGTATAAGGTTTCTTCACTAAATTCTACAGGACTACCGCATACCTAGCATATGCTTACAAAGTCTGCCCCATCCCCTTTTCCCAATCCCAGGGCCCAAGCCCCAAACAGAGCCTGACTCACAGGAGCCAATCTCCCCATCCCTGTAGCCTAGACCTTCTGCTCTCGGAAAAGGAACATCCAAGGGCTGTGGCTTTGAGGGGAGCAGCCCAGTCTCCCTACTGTCTGATTTAATTACAGCGGTTCCTGTGGGAGTGGGGGGTGTTATTCTCTTAAACATTTGCAGCTTGAAACAGTTGAGGAAGCAGCTTAAATAAAAAAATCTCCCTACCCCCAACAATCCACAACCCCCCAAATTCGAAACAAAACAAAAACAAACCTAAAATCACAACAGCGACCAAGCTCCCCCTCCCTGTAGGCAGGGTCTCACTACGTTCCCCAAATGGTCTTGAATTCCTGGCCTCAAGTGATCCTCCCACCTCAGCCTCTAAAGTGCTAGGATTACAGTCGTGAGTCGCCATGCCCAGCCTTCAGTCTATTCTTCGGAGCATTTAACTGTCTGTCTTCATAGTATGTGAGTATCTAATTTTTATACACCTATCTGCACACTGGAGTATTTGATTTTAAACCCTTCCTTCTTAATCCTAGGTTTTATTCAAAAATTTTAATTGAGCAATAAAGAAGTATTGACAATCCAGTTTACGCTGAAATGTCAACATAAACATTTCATTTAATATACATTTATTGTAAAAGCAATATACAATAAAAATACAGAATAGCATACATCCTAACAAGTCACAAGGCTTTGTTTCTTCTTGGTTTATTGTTGAGATACATTAAGATATTAAGCATTGGGTCAGTGTCGTAGCTCATGCCTGTAATCCCAGCACTTTGGGAGGCTGAGGCGGGTAGATCACTTGTGTTCAGGAGTTTGAGAGCAACCTGGCCAATATGGCAAAACCCTACCTCTACTAAAAATACAAAAATTAGCCGGGTATGGTGGCCCACACCTCCAGTCCCAGCTACTTAGGAAGCTGAGGCAGGAGAATCACTTTAACCCAGGAGGTGGAGGTTGCAAGTGAGCCAAGATCAGGCCACTACACTCCAGCCTGGGGAACAGTGCGAGGCTCTGTCCCAGGAAAAAAAATAAAGCATCACTACTATTATTTTATAATAAAATATGGTTAACACTGTTGCCAAAAACACATTTTCTTTACAATTTATATTCTTCTTCATTAAATATTGCCCAAATACTTATATATCCTACTGCTGATCACCAAAATTTTATAGTCTTATCTTGCAAATACAGTACATATACAATAAAACAGTTGGAAAACATATAGAGATTGACCACAAATAAGGCCCACAAGGTACTGCTGTGTAATGTATCTACCATCAGGTTAATCAGGCCAGTTGTTATATTTGACAGCAAGAAAAATATTAACTGTTTTCTGTTTAGAGCTGTGATTAAACAAAGACTGGGTTCCCTTCTTTCAGTTTCAGGGACTACAGATTCTGAATGCTTTTTATTTGTAACCGGTGACTGGATAAGTTTCCAAGAACATGGTACTAGAGCGCCTTTAATTAGAAATTTGGCAAAACTCAAAATTATATCAGCCAGTAATAAACTACTAAGAAGGATCAGGCTAGAAGCAACTATCCAAATACAAAAGGCTAAATTTGCCATTCTTCGAGATACTGCTTCTACATTTACTTGAACTACATGAAGAGATATAAAGAGGCTAATAGCTGCCAGCAAAAGACAATAGGCTACTTTTATCAAGTCTTTGATATGTGATCTTTTCTTATGTACATATAACCCTGTTTGTACACCAGCCATGTGTATTGCCACATACCCCAAGGTAGAGATTATTCCCTCGCGGTTGGCATTTAATAGACCAACCCGTGTGCCATTACCATCAGTACCATATAATATTAACCTCTTCAGTGGGGTAAAGTCAAGGGCTAGCTGGTATAATACAGTAATGCTGAGGGCAATAATCCAGGACTTATTTAGGGGAAAAATAATCAAAAGCAGTGGTGTTACCAATTTCACAACTATTATGGTAAAGAAAAAGTTCCAGTGAACTCCATACTCAGTTAAATGTTCCTGATAGCCTATTGATTTTATAATGGCTAATCGTCCAATTCCTAGGAAGACCAATGGCCAAACAGAGTACAGTGAGTTTGTAAAGTGACACAATTTGGACCCTTCCATGTATTTTCTCCTCCTGATCTCTAGACAAACCATTGCAGTCCCAAAAACAAAGCCACCTACTCCAAAATCCATTGCTCCTGTCCCATAGAGCTCAGTTTTGGCAAATCTTCTGGGAAAAAGTGGGAAGTCCACAGCCAAAATAGCAATAGCAGTAAATGCACTAGTAATTACACGGAAACAGGAGATAGCTGGAATGTATTCTGATTCTACTCTGATGTTCAAGAATTTTTCAAGGATTTTCTGGAAAGGAACTCTGGCATAGCAAGTCCTCCTTTGGTATATTTGATAGAACAGCCCTGCCCCAAAGATAATTACAGTGAGAAGCTCAAGGAGAATAAATGAAGCCCAAATGGTCAAAGTGGCTACCATGGGAACTATAAGGACAACAAAGTCAATGAAGAATCTAGTTTTCCAGGTATGTGAAAAAGAACATATGTGCCGTGAGAAAATGATCAGGAATCCTCTGCACAGGATACAGAATGCAGGAAAGCACAATCCCTGGGTGATTTCCAGCACGGTGGTTCCATTGAGGTTACTGACAAAAGCTTCCTTCATCTGCTTATGAGACATTTTTATTCTTCCTGTGAAAATAAGAGCAAAGGAATGGATTTGTGAAAAGCAACATTCTTGTATAATCAGCATACCTGGCTTAAGTTTACTCTTATTCCTAGATTTCAGAGCAGAACTTTGGGCCCTAATGATTTCACCTAGGATTTGTGATTCCTCTTCCAAGGATTGTAGGAAGAAGCTTAACACTAATGCATTAGGATAGAACTGTCATACTCATAGTATGAAATTATTGGTTACAAAGCTTCAGCTATTCCCTGTACAAGACAAGACTTACAAAGTGAATTTGGGGCTGGGCGCATGGCTCAATCCTGTAATCCCAGCACTTTGGGAAGCCAAGGTGGGAGGATCACCTGAGGTGAGGAGTTTCAGACCAGCCTGGCTAACATGGTGAAACCCCATCTCTACTAAAAATATAAAAGTTAGCCTAGCATGGTGGCAGCTGCGTGCAATCCCAGCTACTCAGGAGGCTGAGGCAGGAGAATTACTTGAACTTGGAAGGCGGAGGTTGCAGTGAGCCAGGATCGCACCACTGCACTCCAGCCTAAGCAACAAGAGTGAAACTCTGTCTCAAAATAAATGAATAAATAAATAAAAAATAAAAAAGTCCTAGCGGGGAGCAGCGGCTTACGCCTGTAATCCTAGCTCTTTGGGAGGAGAATCACTTGAGGCCAGGAGTTCGAAATGAGCCTAGGGAACATTGCGAGATTCCATCTCTACAAGAGGAAAAAAAAGAAATTAAAAATTAGGTGGGCCTGGTGGTGCGCGCCAAGCTGAAGCGGGAGGATCGCTGTAGCCCACGGGGTGAGCCGAGATCGCGCCACTGCGCTCCTACCTGGGTGACAGAGCGAGACTCCCGTCTCTTAAAAAATAAACTCCTTCCTGACAGACGCCCGATCTGGCCGCACTCTGCCCGTATACCTCATGTGCTCCAACCGTGTCTGCGACTCCGGCAGAGGGTCGACATGACCCGGCCGCCGGACTCCACCTGCACCCGCCAAACCACGCGGGCACCAACCGCTTCCGCCTCCCGCGAGGCGCTTCCGGCCGCCGCGCGCAGCCTGCACTTCCGGGCCGGCAGATTCCGTGTCCCCGCCCGTCATGGCGCTCGTCCCCGTGTCCTTTGGGCTGATACAGGTCAGATCCTCTCGGGCTGTATTCCTGAGAGGAGCTCCTGGAGAGGAAACGGCGCGCCATGCACCTCACAGCGGCCCCTCAGACCCCACGGCGAGGCCCTGTCAGGGTAAAGGGGTCGGCAGGACCCGCGCAGGGCTCCGCCGCGGCAACCTCTGCAGAAAGGGCCCCGGCCCTGGGCGCGCCCGGAGGCCCAGGAAACCGCTTCCGCGCTTCTTTCCCAGAACGTAGGACGCTGCCGCTTCACCCTCATTCTACCTCAGGGTCGCAAAACACCTCACCCTAGACTGAGCCCGCAAGCCAGACCCGGCGTCCCAGCCGAGCCACGTGCGCCCCGCGCTGCGAGCGCGCGCCCCGCCCCTGGGGAGGAGCCGGCCGACCCCGGCCACTTGGCGAGTGCCCCAGCCGACCGGGTGCGGTCCCGGCTTCCCCTCCTCCCTGCGCCCTCCTGCCCCTCCTCTCCCCTCCCCTCCCGGGTTCTTCCCGCGCCCGACCCGGCCCGTCCGCCTTTCCAGTCTGGCCGGGCGGGGGCCTGACGTACGGCGGCTCGAGCCGTGGGACCGGTGAGTGCCATCCGAGCCCAGATCTGAAGCCCTCGCGACGCAAAAGGGGCAGAGGGGGCCAGTGTGCCCCGCAGCGCTGAGGAAGAAGAGGGCGTCTCCACCTCCCCTTCCAAAGCGCTGTTTCCCTTCTTTCTTCCCTTTTCCGTTTGACCCTCTTGTGTCTCACGAGCGGGTAGTCCCGCTCTCCGGCCTTTCATGGTCACCCTCCCCCTTTCCACCTGGCCGGCAGGGGGCGACCCGGGTGGGAAGAGGGTCCCTACTAAACTCTGCCCAGCTCAGGACCCCGGGAGGGGGCGGCCGCGCCCTTGGCTAGGGTCGTGTCCAGCTTCCTGGGAAGGACATACTCTCCCCGGGCCATCCCAGTGCTGGATTGGGTGGCACGTCGCCCGGACCGGGAACCTGGGGGCGAAGCCACCTGGGCTCACAAGATCCTTACCCAGCCCTTCTCAGCGTCTGCCCTCCCACTGTCCTCCAAGACGAGAAAGAAACTGAGGCTGAGAAGGTGGAGCGACTGGTGGTCAGGTTACCACTTGCCTTGATTCGGTGTTCCATCTACTCATTACTGTCTCCCTTCTGCCCACAGTGGTCACACCCTTTCCAGAAATTCTTGGCTGGAAACTGCAAAACCGACTAGTGCGGGAGCTGGGAGAACTGGAGAAAACTGCCCTAATCTCACTTGACTCCAGCTGGGGGCGGATGCTGCATCATAATATTTGCAAAGCGCTCTCACAGGTATTAGCCTCTTTCGTCCTTCCTTTATCCCTATGAGGTCTGGATATTATTACTCCGTTTTGTAAACGAGGAAACAGAGGAAGGCTTAGAGAGTTCTTGGAATCTGTGCCGGGGGCTTGGGCTCTGGATTCAAACTCCAAACCTGTTGTGCAGCCTCTCTGGATCTATTGCTTGAGATGAGCGCCCATTGAAAGAGCTTTGTTCTTTGGAGCCCTCTGCATGGCTTTCCCTTGGATGGGAAAGTGCCCAGGGTCAGTGTGTTTAGCACAGTTCTGATGCCCCTTTCTGCCTGAATTATTCTTTTTCCAGCTTCTAAGGAAGTCCCTATCGCTAGGTTCTTTAAAGATGATGTATTCAGGACCTCAAGAAAGTGTCCACCAGGGTTAATCTGTTGCGGGCACGCCTCATCTCCTTGCTAGGCGTGGTGCCAAGGCCTGGAAAATTCCAAATCTGAGGGTCACTTAACCATTCTTCAAAGACTGGCTTAGGCCCAGCTTCACAACACCCCACCTCCCAGATGGATTCAGCTCCCTGAAATCCTCACCTTCTTGAAGTTGACACTGTTCACCAGATTAGTGCTCCCAAATGGATCATCAACCCTTAGTAGTAGCACTTAGTGTTTATCCTCTGAGTGAATACTCAGATTTGTACTTTGTGTGGTGCTGAGCAATGGTGAGTGTATGATTGCTGAGAAACACTGAGTATATGATAAAAGTGTATTGTTTGCTGAGAAGGATGGCAAGGAAAACCTGGCTGCCCCCACCCCCCAAAGTGGAAAACTGCCTGGGGCATTCTAAATTAGCAAGCAGTATATGTATATCATACACAGGTTACAACAATTCTTTAAGCACGGGGTGTGTGACCCTGCCCCCGTGGCTCCCTCGTGGAGAATACTTTCTAGTTTGTCCTTGATCAGTGGTAAACAGGCACCAGCTGCCTACCTAGTTTATCTTGGTTCTATGAGAAAACACAGGACACCTGTTTATTGATAATAATCACCTGTTCAGAGAGAATAACTATGTGGGTCAGCATCTGTTCGAGGGCCTCAGCCCAGAATGCTGTTAACCCCCTGAGGCTCTCAGCTCGGAAGGCTGTTAGCCCCCCAGATATTCCCATTTTGCTGTTTTATCTGGGTGTCTGCTTCTTAATGCCTTCAGCACCGCCTTGGTGGGGGTCTCTATGGCCATGCTGGTCTCGGTAGTGTGGTGCTGTCAAACCATGACCTCATTGACCTTCACAGCCACTCCTTATGAAGCAGATTTAACTGTACCCATTTTCAAGGTAAAAAATTGAGGTGGGTGATGTGGCTGACCCAGGATCACACACCCAGTGAGTGGTTGAACTCTGATTTCCCTACCATACCACACCTTTCCTGGAGCAGCAAGAGATGACTCCAGCTTCCCCTCCCCACCAACAACTGGCTACACTGCAATAGGATATTCTGTCCAGAGGATAGGGCACAAGGCTTCTCTGTCTCCCCAGTGTCTTGTTCCTCTTCCATGGCATACAGACCCAGAGGGTTTGCAGCCCCACCCCAAACCCTAACCCTGTAATAAAACTGGGCCAGGCTCTCATAAAAGTTTCCCCTGTCTCCTAATTGGCAAGAGAAAGGACACTCATTCTCTGTCCCGGCCGGCCTTGGTTCTTATTTTGGTTGCTCCTACTTGGTGGGAAGAATAGGAATGAGTGAGTCACCCCGGAAAAGCCCTCACCTGTTTATCGTCCTTGTCTTCTCTCTCATGCCATAGGCTCTGGAGTGACTTATCTGAGATTCCTCCAGTAATCAGCCCTTTGTTGGCACCATACCCCAGGCCATGGTCCCATGACTAGGTGGATAGTACTCCTTGTACCTCCTGTAACCCAGAACCCTGGCTGACTACATTGAAGGAGGATGCTCCAGCAGGTAATACTTCAACCTTCAATAACCCAGGCCTTCAGGCACCTGCAGCATCTTTTGCTAGCCCTAACCTGGAAGGAAGGGAGAGCCCCCTTAAAGGTCTGTCTTTTTTTTTTTGAGACAGAGTTTTGCTCTTGTTACCCAGGCTGGAGTGCAATGGCGCGATCTCGGCTCACCGCAACCTCCGCCTCCTGGGTTCAGGCAATTCTCCTGCCTCAGCGTCCCGAGTAGCTGGGATTACAGGCACGCGCCACCATGCCCAGCTAATTTTTTGTATTTTTAGTAGAGACGGGGTTTCACCCTGTTGACCAGGATGGTCTCGATCTCTCGACCTCGTGATCCACCCGCCTCAGCCTCCCAAAGTGCTGGGATTACAGGCTTGAGCCACCGCGCCCGGCAAAGGTCTGTCTTTTCTCTCCTCAAATTGTTTCTCCATTGCCTTTTACTCATCATCAAGAAGCTCTTGCTGATACTGAATTTCAACCTGCCTTGCGGTTTTTAGCTCCTTTCTTTGGGATAGGTAAGGTGGGATGGGTAAAGGAATCCTTAGGGCACTTTGGGTATTCTACAGAGGAAGTCCTGAGAGATGTCCCAGCCATCTGAATTGTTGAGACATAGAAGCCTGGGGCTTGCAAGAGCATGTGTTCCTTGAAGCTCAGCCTTAAAGAACAAGAAAGAATTACGCATGTGGAGAAGGAAAATAAGCACTCCAGGAAAAGAGGTCAGCCTGTACAAAAACGTAGGAGACTATCTGTGGGGAAATATAGAAGGATTCTGATTAGTGGGTCATGGGGTGCATGATCCTCACATCTCTGCCTCTCTGAAAAGGCTACTGTTGCCCCAGGCCTGTAGGATTCCAAATCGCCCTTTACAGTGGAGCTCTATCCTATACCCATATCATCCTTCATGTGTAGCTTCTGGTCCAGAGAGAGTGCCAGTACGTATTTGCTGAATTTTTATTTTGCTAAGTGTTGCCAGGCACTGGGCTCAGGCAGATGATAAAGTTGCCCTCGGGGAACTCAGTCTAGTGGAGTCTTGGGTAGGCAAGTGCCTGAGACTCAGCAAGGTAGCAGCCAGGTGTGGGGCCTGCCAGCTTCAAGGGAGCCATGGTAAACACACTTGACCTTCCAGCCACATGGCTCTTGGAACAGGTTTGAAGGTGAGAAGCAGGCAAAACAATTGACTGCTCTGAGCTTTATTGCTTATTTTTTAACTTTGTTTTCTCTTAATAAAAAAATCAGTAATGTTCACCATAACCATACTAGCAGCTGCCTGTATTGAGCCCTTAATATATAATAGGCATTATACTAAGCATTTATATGTGTGATTTTGTATAATCCTCACAACCTCCACCTGAGATAAGTCCTCTGCGTGTGTGTATATATATTGAGGTGTATATATATACACACACACACACACACACACACACACACACACACACACATATACATACGTATACAGTGCTGTTATTTCCACATTTTGGAGATAAGACTCCAAGAGGTTAAGTGGTTTATTCAAGATCACATTATCAGAAATTTGGAAAATACACTGGGCCACCACGCCTGCTCTAAAAGCGGCTCTTCTAATTCGGCAATAATATGTGAAGGGCCTTAAAACTATGCATACCCCTTAAGCCTGCAATCCTGCTTCTCAAAAATGATCCTGCGTAAAGGCCATAAGAATGTCAGTGTAGGCCGGGCGCGGTGGCTCAAGCCTGTAATCCCAGCACTTTGGGAGGCTGAGGCAGGTGGATCACGAGGTCGAGAGATCGAGACCATCCTGGTCAACATGGTGAAACCCCATCTCTACTAAAAATACAAAAAATTAGCTGGGCATGGTGGCGCATGCCTGTAATCCCAACTACTCAGGAGGCTGAGACAGGAGAATTGCCTGAACCCGGGAGGCGGAGGTTGCGGTAAGCCGAGATCGCGCCATTGCACTCCAGCCCGGGTAACAAGAGCGAAACTCTGTCTCAAAAAAAAAAAAAAAAAAAAAGAATGTCAGTGTATATAAAACCATTTACACTTGTAAAGGAATTGAAAAGGCCACAATGTCTAAATAGTAGACTGTTTATAGTATATCAGTATAATGGAATAAAGCAAGTTACACAAAAGTGTAATACTTTTCAGTGTTTTTAAAATATGTATTTAGGGGGAAAATTTATGATATTCTCTAAAATGTTGGTTATTTCTGGGTGGTATGCTATTGGGTTTTCATGCTCCTTTTGCTTATCTCTGTTTTCCACTTTTTTTTTTTTTTTGAGACTGAGTCTCGCTCTGTCCCCCAGGCTGGAGAGCAGTGGCTCCATCTCGGCTCACTGTAACCTGCCTCCCTGGGTTCAAGTGATTCTCCTGCTTCAGCCTCCCAA